ACTGTTGAAATATCAGACGTATCGCGGATGTAAAATCTCATTTGCCAAATGCTGATCTCATTACTTTTTTTTAACTTTCCAGATTCGGGTATGATGATTTAATGCCGTTGCAATTATTTAAATCTAAAGTATGAAAAACATTTTTATCTATCCACGCATCAATATATCTTGATATTCGTTTTTTAAATTAAACAATAAAAATTATTCACGACGATATATTTTTATTATCGAATAATTTATTTTTTGCGGCATAAAAAATAAGCTTTTTGCGAAAATAATAAATATATATATAAAATATTTTTATGTTGAGTGAAATCCCGTTTTATTATTGAAGTTACCGTCAATTCCCTTTTAAAATTCTGTTTAGCTATTCGAATTGTAATGATAATTTATGATCGAAAATAATCGAAAACGAGGTTTTTAGCACCGCTTGTCGCATGATCGGAAGCAGGAAATATTAAGTGACTATCTTTTTTGTCGTACTTTATAATCGGTACGTTGGCACGTGCGAATCGGCAAAGCTTCCGCTTATTCAGCATGATTCAATCACATTTCATTCATTCCCGCAGCGATTACATTCAAATACTCCTATGACTTCAAAAGCATGACACTGGCTCGTGACAATGCTTTAAAACACGTGTATAAAAATAATAAATACAAAAAAGATTATATTTACTAATAAAGATAACATAGAAAGTGAAAATATAATATATATAGGAGGAGAAAAAGAGTATCATATTTAACAATTATTAGTTGATACGGAAACATAAATACAGTTTTTTCGGTAATAAAATAGGAATGTAAGAAATAAAAGTTTGGAATCAAAAGATTTTGGAAAATAATAATAAAATTAGAGAAGTGCCATTAATATTATAATTTAATATACATAATTTAATATCAATATTATAATTAATACTATAGGAAACGTCTCGAGAGATTTCTCGATACATTTTCTACATGAAGTAATAGATAACAGTATAAATCTCGTCGATTATTACATCTCATATTGCACAATGCGATAGGGATTATTCACATTTCTTGCACGTAATAAGCACGTGCTTGCGACACATGAGAACGCATATATCATTTCATCTGATAATTAAAATTAATGTGACAAGTCGCGAACATATTAAGCGTATATTTGTTTCGATAGTAAATGATTCTCAATTGATTCGTAATTTAAAATTATAATATAAATCAATACTATAATTTCCTTTTATTGGTATACTTTTTAATTACTGCTTGAAATTCTTGAATATTGATAATATTCTCCCTACTATAACGAATACAATGCTGACCAAGCTTGCAATGTGAACAGCAAATGTGATTCAATGGCCTAGAAATTAAAAGAAAGGATACCGTGTATAAAGATACGTACACACGTCCTTCAATGATTCGTCCTTCTACCATCAAGTCAGAATCAATTACTTTGATTCTACGATAGGTATCTATCGATAATTCTAGATATGAAAAATATAATAATCTAAAAGCAACAAGATTATTTTATTATTTTATTATCTTTTCGAATTAGCTTTTGGAGGAAAAAAGATTAATAGAGGAAAATTGCGTTTCGTTATAATCGTATAAGAAAAATAAGAATTTTTCTTATAGATATCGCATTTTATATATAGGCATCAAGTGACTTTTTTTCCTGGCATTTCTGTCTTATACCTCCCGATCTGAGTAAATACAGATGGTTTCCAAGATGTAGAGACATCATTAGCTTAGTTTGGGTAGCGTTTATTCAAATTCATGTGTCATAAGTGAATGTTTCAATGTACACAACGAAAATATCGTTGCTGATAACGAAGCAAAAAATCGATCATCGATAATGATGATGGCGACTCGCAAATATCGGCAAATTATTTACAAAGAAATAATTTCTTTACCTCTAGTTAAATCAGCCATTAATGGAATTAAAATATGAACACAAGTCGCGAATAATATATACTATGAATTATTGTAATTAATAATTCTTATACCGCAAAAAGATATGAATCATTTTAATTTTTACGTAATTAAGAGATATATCAGAGATATTACTGATGCTAATTAATTTAGAGATATTTCAGAGATATTACTGATGCATAGTCCAAAGATTATACAAGTGAATTATAACAAATATGATAGATATTTCTTCAAAGATAATCCTTTATAAAACAATAATCAAGAAAAATTTTATAAATAATGATTTGTAAAAGAAAACAAATTATGCATCTCTCTCGCAATCCATATCGTAATTTTTATTATATATACAATCTTGAAGTTAAGAAAAAGATTCACAGCATCTTCGGATTAAATCGTGTAATAATAAATCTTATATCATATGATGTATACAAATTAAAAACTATAATTTTTTTTTATAATTAATGCTGTATTTATTACATTTAATAATGAATTAAAAATTATTTAAAACTGATTTAAAAAATTATTTTAAAGTAATATTACATAGGCGATATTATATTATAGTATTATATTATTATATTTATAAGTAATATTATATATATATATATATATATATATATATATATATTATATGATATGATATGATATTATATTAGAATATTATTCTCCAAATTTTTCTACATAATATCTTATAAAATAAAAAAGTTTGTAATAAAATTTTCGTGTTAAATTTTAGCAAAAATTGATGAATAGCATACGAATTATCATAATTTTTTATCTTTTGATCATGATTCAGTGTCTTTCCATATAACTGATAATAATAAAAAAAACATGACAGTGAGAAAATCCACGCGAGATAATCGTGCGGCATCGATGAAAAAATGGCGATTTCTCGTTCTATTAGTCAGCTGACGTGCACAAAAAGACGCGTCATCGCCGAGAGAAGATATGTGATCATTGGGAAAATAACTTGGATATCCGTTTTGAAGTAATTTTTCTCAAAAAACTGGTTTTGACAATTAATCCTAAATCACTTCCTGTTCCGCGTAGTTCACGCTATTTGATAATCAATGTAAATAAAGACACGTACGTTCTTATCGCCGTAACATCTAATCATAATAAATCACGTAGCATGAATCGTGTATGAATCGTGATAAAAAAATTAAGATTATGAGTGTGAAAACATACATATTTATAATTTACGATCAATTCGATGCAATTCTCTAAAAAATATTAAACGAGTACGAATTAGTATCGTATCCTTTATGCAATTCGAATTCGTACGAAGTAAACAGAAAATATTTCAAACACATATAAAGTTTGTCCCATATAAATCCAAATTGAAAGCGTGTAATATATAAGATAAAATTCGATAAGATAAGGTTTATATATCATAATATTGTTCACGTATCATGTATTTAATAAGATAATTTTATAGATAGATAATCTGTCAAATAAATGGAGAGCACTAAAAGTCACACATGTGTCGATGGATAAAAAAATTGTTATATATAATTAATTTTCATATTTGGAGCAACAAATCTCTTTTGTGTGCCGCATAATATATATTGAATTTCTATTCCATTTACTGCAATACATCGATCATTAGAATAGCTAAAAGAGCACAATGACGGCAAGACTCTTTTGCGGAGAAATAACTAATTACGGTACGATGACGCATGTGCATTCAATAACGCGCACCTGCTTGTATTTTACGCAAGTTCGAATACGTTGTAAAAGCTGAGAACATTGCATATTACGGCGTAAAAAATAAAACACGGTAACCGCATTCAATTCAGGCAGTTATTAGCTCGATGTGCCCCCTGTATATCCAACAAATACATACGTGTAAAATGAGTTCGCGAAAGTTTTTAAAACAATTTAGAATAAAATTATACACACGTACAAAGTATTGTTAAATGAGTAGTAGCTACTTGTAGCATAGATATCTTTGCAAAAATAGAACGTTTAATATATGCATATCAATAACACGTGCGTATTTCTCTTACGTATGTGTGCACATTAATAATTATATTTTATTATCATCCACACATATGGCCTTCCAGACCAAGTCGTCAATATGTATTCAGCACAATCGATGTATTGCAGTGCTGCACGCGTTACGAGCGTGTGCCAGACACTTTCTAGGCATGAACGGACGCGACGTAAACACACGAGAGCGACCAAAGGCGGCGGCGGCGACGAATCCAACAGGTGGATCCAACTCACATCAGATAAATTCCACGCGAATGCCACGGATTCTTTCGATACGGGCGCGTCGTTTATCGGGACTTTCGAAACCGAGGAAGACGATTAACGCATTTGCGTTCGCCTTAATGTGCATTAATCACTTTCGAGAGATTTATCTGAATATATTCGACACGCACACATTTTCGATACATATAGAAAAGTAGGCAATAGTGTCTCTCAGAAGAGAATTTATTCTGATTATTTATAGTATTTAAATGACATTAAAATTCTTAATAAAATTTATGTTTTTATAATATATTAAAATGATATTAAAATTCTTATTAAAATTAATATTAAAATTGATATGATAAAAATATTGAAATGATATTGAAATTTATATAATAAAATATGATAAGAGAGAGAGAGAGAGAGACAATATTTAATTTTATTACATTGCAAGTTTTACTAAGTTACTTTATGCAGAATGAGATAATTATCTGATATCTCTCTTTTGCAATTACAATATTATTTCTGCATATTTGTATCTCCATTCCACGGATTTGAATATACACATACGCGCGCGCACTTCATAATTTAAGTATTATAATCAAGTATTGACACAATCTATGCTTTTATATAACCACCTTTTATCAATAATAATGATTCAATATAAAAAAAGCATCTTAACTTTAAGAGTTAACTAAGTTTCTTCCAATTATTTACATAAAATTGTGTATATATAATAAATGCGCCATGATAGATTTCTATTTAAAAACATTTTAAGAATAAAATACATATTGCGTAATTTATGCCATTTAAATCACTGAAAATTATGACACGTAATAAATCATACACTCGGTACCTCTAGAAGTCAAGATGCGAAAGCAGAAGAGAAGCGTTCTTACCTCGTCAACGGAGCAGTTGCTACCATCTGAGCGATCCTCCACGCTGTTGGGATTCCTCTCCGGCGTCTTGATCACCTTGATGTTTGCCATGGTGCCCTTGATGACGATGTTGTTCTCCCTGAAGTAATCGTCGGCCTCCTGATCGACCACCAGAAGCTTGGTCTCGTTGGCAAACGCCTTGATGCGCTCGACCACCTGATTGTGGGTCTCGTTCGCGATGTCGATCTCGTTCACCTCGATTATCCGGTCGCCCTGACGCAGACCGGCCGCCTGGCTCGGCGAGCCGTCGTCCACTTTTCCGATGAACTGGCCGTTCTTGCCCTTCTGCGCGTGCAGATTGAATCCGTAGCCGGGGAAGTCGTCCCACTTGACGATGTGGCAGAGTCGGGCGCACGGCGGTTTATCGTCCTTCAGCGAGGACATCGCGTCGGTTTCGAGCCTCGATGAGAGAGGCGAAAGTCGAGGGAGAAAAAAAGTGTAAAGAATACGAAAAAAAAAGACAACAATGCGGGGAGACGCGCCGCGACTCGAATCGGACACACCGCACCGCACCAAGGAACGCGCGAAACGCGAGTCACGCGCGGGCCGAGACGAGCGCGACGGGGACAGACACCACGAGACGGACGCGCGCGCACGTATGACGCGGCGAGCGCGAACGACGGCGGAGAGACCCGAAACGGGCCTCGGCCACTCGGCTGCCCGATGATTCCCGAACCGAGCCGACCTCCGACGCTGCCGAAATACGGATCCCCTCGATTCTGCGCAATGGCGGACTCGCTCGACGAATACCGCGGATTTTTAATTAAGAGCCTTACCGAAAGATTTTTCCCTTTCTTACTCTTACGTTGCGATAATCGAGTTTTTCTCCTTCTTTATTTCCTTTTTTTTATTTTATTATCGTTGTAAGATTCAAGATAGATCTTCTTGGTCGGTTGGCGTTTTCTTGATTGTCCATTTGCGCCATTTAGTTTAGTTCGTCGTACAAAATATTTTCCTTATATAAATACACTGCACGTAATTTACGCTAATCGCGACCGGAACGAGATGTATTCGCGTTTTTGAATACGATGTCGAAGGAATACACGCGAAATATTGTCGCGAGACAAACTTACCGAACCGGAAGAGCAAAAGACACAGTTAACGAACGAAAGTGAAGTTGACTGCAAATTGTATGACGGCGACGTCTGGTGACAGGTGCGCGAAACTCTGTATGTTTCGTTCGAATATATTGATCGATAAAATATTGATAGAAACATAAGAAAAATGTTCCTTTTTAATTTTCAGAATAGAAAAAAGTAAAAATTAAATTAAATTAAAAGAACATAATTCTTGAAAATAAAATACATTTCATTTTCTTTATTATCTACAACTTTGTATATAATTAGATTATATATAACTTTAAATTTTTTATATATTTTTATATAAATAGAAAAAACGCGTTCTCTCTAAATGTCACTTGAATAAAAAGTTAAATTAAATAACTAGTATATTGTGAAAATATAAAGATCTATTCGCACAAATATACAAAACGTTACTGTCACTGTCCTGTCAATGTACCATCAAACTATTTCCCGTAAGCAACCGTTAACTATGATTATGACATATAATGTGCATAACTCTTAATACATTTACGTTACGTATCGCAATCCACATTGCATGTTTATATAATTCAAATTTAATTGCAATAGAGCAATTGAAATAGAAAACACTTTACCTTCAATTTTTATTTCAATTTATTTCGTTTCCCCAAGCGATTATAATCCCACGTATAAAATCTTAACGACTTTGGAAAAAGAATCTTAAACCGCGATAGTTTATCGACGACTTAATAAGCATCTAAATTATCATTTTTCTCGTTGGGACATCAATTAAATAGAAATTCACGAAAAGATGTAATATTGAGATATTGGCACTAAATTCCTTGTTAAAGGAAGGGAAGTCATAATTGGTTTTTTTATCGTGTTAATTTAGCCAATACCTCATAAAACTAATATAAAACATAAAAACTTTACGAACAATAATATTGCTTACAAACTTTTGCGATCAATGATAATCGCTAATTTTCTCCTTTCCACAAAATGCAACAAGACGATTGGTGGTGATCCGAGCGAGTCGCAGATAATCGTAATGCGAGACCGTGATGCAACCGTACTGACGTAACAATAACGATTTGAGGAAACATGAATGCGCGCATCACGCATAAAAGGCAACACCCTATCGATTATAAAACGCGCAAACCACCCACGATAAGACGACACTAATAAAGGCGCGTCATCGCGCGAAATAATTCTTTGCAGCGAATGCGTTCGACAAATAGGCGGCAAAATTAACGATATATAACTGCATGCATTTATCTTCAGATATATCATTAGGAATGTATGCATGACATCTATATATGACGTATGTATTTCATGGTTGATGAAAAATATATCGGTGAAATTAAATATTTGTGTTACATTTTATATTCAAAAAAATTTTTTAATATTTATAAACTTCTGTCAGATTCTTGTAATATATTTTTTTATTTAAAAAAATTGAAAAACAAAATAATACATTTCTCTCATAATATAGATAATAAAATTTAAATTGTATATATTTGTATATATTTGAATGAGTAGCTCTGGATTCGCGAAATAGCTATTTATTGACAAAAATTGGCGTGTTGATGTCAATCGAATATAAACCGACCGTACAAGTTGAAGCCCCTATTAAATGATTACGAAATAGCAAGCACGGTGATGCACGGCAATTATGGTACACGCGGCTATCACCTCGCCACTTCCGTTCTTCGGCAATCCTTGCGAGCAGTTGTTCGGTCGTGATAAAACATAATAAAACCGCTTAGCGCGGCTTAAGTAATCTTCATCATTTCTCCGGATGATTTCTCTTCGCAAATGCAATAGACATAGAAGCCTAAATAATACTTTGTAGTTAAGAGTGATATTACTAGTTTCTACCTGAATTTTTATAGACGTTATAATGGATCGCGACTGAAAAATCAATCACGTGTTATCATTGAATTTCATAAAAAAAATTATTTCAATACAATATAATTGTTAATTTGAAAATAATATTTTGGAAAATTATCATATAATTATTACAATTAAAAAAATTATTATTTAAATAATGATCTATTTAACAAGACAAAGGCTCATTTAATCTGCGCGTATTAGATAATCGCGTTAGAATAATTTCTCCATCGTTTTTGTGCATTCGAACAACCTTAATACATGCACTCATATCTTAACGATGATGAATCACACTCTGTTGCTTATTCGTGTTTAAGACTCGCCAATCGCATATGCATGCGATATCTTCTCTCGTAGATACGAAGAATACTCTTTGAAAACGTCAGTCTCGCGAAATTTTATATCAAAGTTATATATCTTCCTTTGTCATGTGTGCCAGCATATTTTCCTATATAATCTTTTAATGAATTTTAAAACCGTGAAAAATATATCTTTTAAGATATTTTTGTATCGCTCTAAAATAAAATGTGAATACTATAAATTTAAAATGATTTTGAATATTTATTATTTGGATTTTAAATATTACGATAATTAGAAATCTATTAACTTCCTTTTTTTATCTCCTTTCTATCCAGAATTCGAGATACGCATAAAGTGTTTCTCACAATTGTAGTACAATTCTTATCGGTGGAGATCTCAAATTGCGAATGGTTAATTAACATTTCATTCAGGATATGATTAATCAAATATACGCGAAACAAACGGGAAAACTCTTTCAGATACGAAGGCCAAAGCTATGAAATTAAAACTCACATGTGTGTCTGTGTATTTTAATTATTTCACATTCATATATCTCGTTTTGCGATGATACATCACGTGTCTTGTGCGTGGTACATTTTTCATCACTGGAATACTGTCATCATATAGTCAACGCATTCACTGCATCAAAATCTAAATTATCTATAAATCTTAAAGTTTTTCAAAAATAATAAATGAATATATATACGATAATATTTTATGAAAATATTTTCAAAATATTACTCTCCTCAAATTGCGTATATGTCAATAATTACTTACACATTACATATTTAATTCATCATAAATTTTCAAATGAAGCCAGAAAACATAAGTAATAAAATATAAGCGAAATCAAAAATCACAATCCTAGATTTCACGAAATTAATCTTTAAATGTTATTTCGAAATATTGGAATGTGATGACCGACTTCTATTGTTAACATTTCTTTTATGCGCGACAATGTTTACTTTCTGCCATTAGCGTCACGAAAGTAATCATATACAGAGATTCTTTTAACCGGGTCATAATTATCGCCATAGACTTAGTAGATATAGATTGTAAATGTGTCTTCATTTGCGTACTAAAATTAGGAAGAGAGGGTAATACTTCAGCAGTCTGTTTATTTCTTTTTACCTTGACAAAATCTCCTTAAATAAAGAAATCGAATAGCTTAACTCTACGAATAGCTTAACTCTTACAATATTCTGTTTATAATCCCCTCTCTTCTCCTAGAGAGAGAATTAAACTATATTTTTTCTTTCTCCTTTTAATTTTGGCGCAACGCTCGATGTGCAGTCTACACTGCGCCATGTTCGTCGCGCATGCGCGCGCGCAGCGAGCACTGCCGACGTTGGCGACGTGATTTTCGGTTTGGAGCGCGGAGTCGGATGGCCGCGAGCGAGTGAGGAGGTTGACGGTGCGTGAGTCTCTGGTTCGTGCGATGCGTGAGCGTTAGTTGGTGACGCGTCGCGCGTCCCGATCACCTGTCGTTGCGTACATTGTGCGACACGAACAAAGACGACAACAACGACAAAGTGCTACGCAAATTCCAATCGAGTGAGTCCCAAGGAACGGATAACGCGCGTGCGTAACCGAGCCAGCTTCCGAGATGTGGAGCCCGACACACGTTCAAGTGACAGGTGAGTGAGCGATATCGCGCGAGTGGCGTGAAACGACGCCCCTCTTTTTTTTTCGATAGACATCGAATGCTCGCGGATGCATCGCGGAGGTGTACCGTAAACGCGATTATCGCGCGATGTGTATATGTAAGGTTACGTGTCCTCGCTCGGAAACTAGGCGAACGAAACCTCTCGTCGCGCTGCGCAGGAATGTATCCGGTGCTGTCCGAGCCCCGGACGCGAATGCCACTTCGTATCCGTGTCACGCATGCATCGTAGATAGAACTAGACATTTACCAAGAATGTTAATCATAATTATGTGTTAAAAATTAAATAGATAAAAAATTACGTGACTTTTTTTTAAAGATATTCTCTAGATAAAAAATTTACGTGACTTTTTTTTTAAAGATATTCTCTAGATTTCTTTATAGGAGGAAGGCTAAAAATAAGAAATCATTGGAAAATTTTAATTTTTTACGACCTTCTTAAGATTATAATCCTATATAAATAATAGAATATTGGATTTCAAGGTTTAACATATTTGTGATATCAAGATATGAGAAAGTACAGAATAATTTTATCTCGCATTTTAGATAAAATTACATGAATTTTTAAAGAGAAATACGTCTAAAATCTATAACAAATAATAAAATAAATAGGTAAATAATAAATAATAAATTAAATAGATAAGTAGATAAATAAAAAGATTTAACTTGTGTCTTTTATAAGATTATAATCTTATCAATGATATAGACAATGAATTTCAAGATTTAGCTCGTATGTCAATGTTAGAATGTATTAGAATATTCCGAGAGAACATTTCGAGATATTGACTTTTATCGTCTTTGTTATCTTAAACTAGAAAAGATATAAAAAAATGGTGCAGCGTAGCGCACAATAAGTAAATGATACTGTTCTGACATATGTCACCGAATCATCGCAATGCAACATGTATTTAAGTTGAGAATATTACTCGAGAGTTTTCCCTTTTCACATTGTGCTTAAATATAAATCTCAATTTCATCACGCGACATAGTAATTTCTAAATTTCAAATCGTGTAATTTCTAAATCCTATATTTTATGTATTGTATAATTTTCTATAATTGCAATAAATATGCGGAAAAAACTGTATTTCTCGAAACATTTTTTATAAATTAATTATTTAATATTTCTCAATTTTTTAAATACCAAAAGGTGAAATTACTACATATTATAAATATACATAAAATAAATAAGATTAATTAAATACATTTAATATTTATTATTTGTTACATATTTAATAAATTTTACTACATTTTTATATTATTGATTAATATGTGAAATAATTTCATAGATTAATTGTAAATAATTTTATTTACCTTTATTATTTCGATATTTACCTTTATTACATTTTTATTTACCTTTATTATTTCGATTTTAACTTCTCAATCGTATTTTTTTCTCGAGATTGTTGTAAGAAGTCTATGCACGATCATCATTAGTTTTTTTGTATAGTTGTAATGGTTTCTAGTAATGATTTCAATTAACTCCGACAAGTAATTAAACGCAATGCAATTATTTAGATGCGCTTTATTATAGTGATGATTATAGCTCACGAAAATATATCGATTTCACTCTTGTCTAGTGAATATTTCATTATCTTATTTAAAAGAATTTCATTATCTTATTTAAAAGAATTTTCATTGTGTGCATTCCAATCTGGTGAAATTTATTATATGTATATGTTGAAATTGAATATCAAATATACGTGCTCGTCGATCACACGATATAAATATAATGGTTTATCTAATATCATTTCTTCCTGCTATTCGTACTCTGTTATATATACATATTATATATATATATATATATATATATACATATATATAATATGTTGTGATAAACATACGTTAAAACATGCGTTATTTCTATCCAGATTGGATCTTTGAAGAAATTTGCGAGAATTTTTTTCTTCTTTTGTTTTCGCTTTTATTTTAGACTCATTCAAAATCCAAACGACTCGATGTATTTTTTTTAACTTTCAATACGCAATTTAAAGAGTCTTTAATTAAATTCCGCCATTCACCGCGAAACTGATCGCAAGATAAAAGGCCTTGTTACCGAGAGTGCAGCTTAATTCGCGAAAGCGCGTGCTCGTGTTAGGCAACTTGTCCTCTTAATTAACGCGCACGCGACTTTTACCTTCGGGCGTTAACGGGCTTGTCAGATGGAGAGTAGATTCGCGGTCGAATCAACATTGACATGTACGTGTATCATATGTACGCAGAGAAGAACCAGATGTTTGATATCTCCATGCTTTGGAGTCTTTTGATCAAAGTCGGACGCGATCCGAACAATCCTAAGAAAAATACAGAGAATTCCCCTCAGAAAAAGAATTAAAATTAATAATGATTTTGCGCAATAAATTATATTTTTAAGAATTTTCTTCTTGCAATACTTTAAGAATCATCGAGTGACAAATTTCTATCTCTCATATCTCGATGCAAAATAGGTGACGTGAAAGCATGTTTAGCGATTACTTGATGTTCCCCTTTCTATCTCTGCAAGATGAAATAGATTTTTAAGACGTACAATATTCAAGTAAGGAGGATCATTAAATTTTATATTCTTAATTCCGTTCGCATTATTATTTTGATTTAATTTGAAGTAATTTTAAATGGAGAAAATTTTTGTAAAAAAATTAACAATTATAAAATATTAATGCGAATTTCTGAATAAAATTCGCGGTGAGAGTCTGGGAAATCTTTTAAAAAGGCTCAAGAAAGATGGATCGAACGTCGCGTGTCCTCGGATATGTTGTTACGATCGCGGATGCGTTGTTGGGATGCATAAAGCGTTGAGAGAAATCATTATTCTATCCAAGTAAACGGTATTTGACTGCGGTTTTATCGCGGTAAAGACTTTGAATCCATCGGACTCGACTCCGAGAGCAGACGGAGGAGAAGAATGCGACGAGAGAGTCGGTTCCACTGACTCTCCTCGATGCGCGAGAAATCGGGGAATATGTACCTGGTCGTATATCTCACACATTCATTACGGTTCATCGCCGTTGCGCGTGTGAGAACGAGGAAATGCCTCCTACAGTTATTCAGTAACGCTTCACGTTAGAAATAACGGATTATAATTGGGTGAGACGCAGGCTTTGCTTCCTCCTTCTTTTTTAACGCATAAAACGTTTATTCATTTTACGAATATATTTGCATATTAGATTTTCCGATTCTGGAAATGAGGATGCGCCTATAAAGTTAATGTGTCACGGCACAGTAACTCAAGCTGCACAAAAGATTAGTATCGAGAAAGCGATTGAATAAAATATCCTTTCGACTTTCATCCTTAATCCCTCGTCATATTTTTCGCATAACACATAAATATATTATTTTTTAAACTTTGATATATATGTATAAAATATATGCATAATAAAAAAAAGTTGAGAGATGCTGGCCTTCACATTTTAGCATCATGAAATTGTCGAAAAATCTCTGGAAATAATATAACCGTATGAATTCATTGTTTAAATTCTATATTTCACGAAGCTGCGCAAAATGATTTGATTTTTAAATGGAACATGCAATTTCCCACTCAATTACAAATTTAAAATTATGATGCGTTCTTTATATGTAAAAAATTCAATCAACTCTTAAAAAATCTATAATTCAAATATCTGATGTGATTATTTTTAACATTACGTATTAATTTTATTAAATGACAATGAAAGTACAAACTTTGTGAAGATACATGAATTATTTTATATATGTATATAATTAATATAATTGATTCTCTCTTTCTCTCTCTCCCTCTTTTTTCCTCTTTTTACCATATATTTAATAATATTGTTGTAAAAAACATTTAAAAAATAATATAAAATAAAGATAACAGAATGATTGATTTCTCTGAAATCGAGAACTATAATGGGGCGGTAACTGATACACATACGTAGCTTTTACTCTGATATAAGCGAGAGCGATTATGCGCGAAAGCTATGACGTGAGATTTTCTCGTAAATGCGCGAATCGAGGAAAGTCGATTGAGACAAAAATGTTATAAAGAAATCTCTATTTTCGACGATTTATAGCTGCCTTTTACGATATTAATACCTAAATTCCAGCGCACGCAAAAGTGAATATATTTGAATATATTTTATGTGCATACCCGTTTATTTAGTTTATTACGAGCTGTGAGCGCATATGATTAATATTACTCAAACTTGTGAACCGATAAATAAATCGCGATAAAATAATCTCCGGTCAACATTTTATTTCGCAAAGAATGTACTTTGGAATATAGATGATATTATACGAATATTATACGAATCGCAATAGAGTATATAAGCAATATCGTCTTAAAATATTTGTATTACGTAGCTGTTGACACTATTCTTTTTCATTTATTTACAGTTCAGAGGGCCAAGGACTTATTGACCAAAGGAAAACACAGTGAGTACCATATTTTTAATCCTATTATATTATTAAAATTATTTCCATTCTCATTTTTAAAAAGAATAACAAAAAATTGTGCACCAAATATAATATTTAAAATATTTGAAAATAAATTGAGTCATATAATAAATAGAACTCTTTTTAATCTCTTTACGTTGCTGCGATACTTTATGAAGTATCCTGTACAAAATAATCTTAAGATTTCTTGACAACCCACCTGTCACCGGTTCTCTCTCTCTCTCTGTATAATAATAAGACAATCTTAAGATTTCTCAATAAAGAAAATTTCTCAATTTTCTTATAAACCAGCTGTCACTCATTGATGCGTGCACCGTCATGTTTCTTACTTATCTACATGTGTGTTCGCGTCGATACCGTATTCCGTGGCTATCTTAAATCATGAATCATCCGATTTCTGTTAGCAAAACGTATTTGCAAAACAATGTACGAATTTACGTCATTATATAAACACACATTACGCCAGTCTTGAATTTCGTCCAACGCGAATATAGAATTTCTTTATCTCAGCAAAATCAAAATATGCAATATGATCGCAAAACTTTGAATCAACGATGATTTCCACAGTAATTAAGTAATAAACGTTGAGTTTTGTGAGAAATATATTTCGATAAAAAAAGAAATTGAATATTATTTATCGACAAAGACACGATATGAAAAAGTGAAAAGTTTACAACATAGAATGGAATTACAAAGCCATTTGAATCTGATCGATATTGTAATTCTTGTTTGTTAATTTAAAAAAAAATGATTTTAAAATATGTGACAATTTCGATTTAATTTTAAAAATTTTAAAATATAAAAACTTTATAAAAAGAAATAAAAAACTGAAAAGTACAAATATAGTTTTTTAATATAAATTTGAAAATTTTAGCTACGCATTCTACTTAATGCGATGAAAATATACATGTCTGTTATCTTTACGACCTAATAATTAGTATAATTGTATGTGCGACGGGTTGATAATTTCTCAACAGGCATCCTCAATGCACGTTGTGACACTACAACGTTTATTACCTGAAACGTAAAATGAAATACTGTTAGAGAAGGAACGTACATTTCAGTTAATGACGAGTTTGCATTTGTGAAAATATATAAATTAAAAATATGTTATCTGATCAAATTATACTTCATTCACAGATGAAAATAAAAAATTAAATATCCATTTAACATATAAATTATTTTTATTGTAAATAAAATATGTAAACGTTAACACAGCTTTGTAATTGAAATCAAAAGTTGAAATTCAGATGAAAACTGATGTGTCTTTTTCGAATGTTAAGCAAATTCTCTTAGAATGGTAGAGCTTTTGACATTAAGAACGGACAATTCCGCGTATCTTTTTATCGGGTCAGACCTTTAATTCCCGTTACACATGTCTCATTAAACTCTCGACCTTTTGATCGTCTGTCGCCCACACGTGAAACGACACGCCGAATTGTGACTGTATGCAGAGACCAACGACTGCTTCGTAACAATCGCCCTCGGTAAGGAAAAGTACCAGACGTCAGTGAAGGAGAAGGCTACCAAGGACGTGGAATGGCACGAGGAATGCGAGCTACTCATACCAGCGCAAGGAAATACCGCCGAGATCGTCCTCACTGCCCTGCATCGCAATTTCCTGGGTGTCGACGAGTTCCTCGGCACCGTCAGCGTACCGCTTTCGAGCTTCGACGTATACGAGAGGCCCAAGAACAGATGGTGCGTCCGCGATAGCATAGTTAATTGCAAATTGCGTTTTATGTAAATTTGTTAAAAAAAATTGCCTGGAAAAAAGAAATCGCCGCGATCATATCGCTCATTAATCGCTCGCATTCCTACTATTATTAATACATAACGCTATAATTCGCTTTGTAGGGCAGTATATATTTTTAATACACTTGAATATTCGAACCTTTTTCCCTCATACTTAATATAATTTTCTATAATTCATTTTTATCTATTTATGTTATTAATTCTATTATGCTATTAATTCTACTCTTGGAGATTTATTTTTTTCAAATAGATATATATTGCTTTATAAATTCTTTAATATCATCTATTTTATTAATATATATCAATTATATATCAAGCATTTTATTTTGAGATATATATAGATATATATATATATATATATATATATATATATATATATATATACATATATATATATATATATATATATATATATATCTCAAAACTTTAATAATTGATGTTATTCAATTGTGTAAAATATGTTTTACAAGAGAGAAAGGAAGAGCTTATGTACTATTTATTCATTGTCGATAAAATTATGAGGAAATAAATGCGCTTGTATTAGGTACACCCTTAATAGCAAACCAGGCAAAGAGAACACGAAGGAAAGAGGCGAGCTCGAGGTGAAGATCGGCTTTATTGTGAAAGCTGGAAGTCTAACTGATCTAAGCAAAAAGGAACGTCACAAAAGTTCCTTAGGTCAGTTGTCTACAGCTGCACAATCAATCGGCGGTAGTTTGCTCAGTATCGGTAGTCTCGAAAAACGTAAAGGACTCAAGAAACTGGCCAAGTCGATTGGAAACAAAGTCAAAGGAAAAAGCAAAAATCGACTCGATGAAAACAATTTAGATGAGAAGGAAGAGCACCAGTTCAGAATCACACGTCAGGAACCGGGTGAAGCTGATCCTGGTGTCATTAGCGAAGACGAGGACGAATTTACGGTAAATAGAATCTAGTATATGTCTAGTATATATCTAGGATCTAGTATACATCCAAATTATAGCATTATTATATTTTATTATACTAAATTTGATATTTATAATTATACTTTGTTAATTTCTACATGAAAAAGTTAATTAATTATTTCTAGTTTTAGAACATAAGTATGATTATAAAAACATATAAGAAATACATGTATAAAGAGCAGAGAAATATTTGAAATAAATTTATCTGTATATCTGTTGGAAATAGTTTCTACTTAAAAATAGAATAATTCAATTCTGTTATAGTTTGACGATCTATCTCATAAGAGTTCGGCCTCGTCATTGAATGCACCTACATCGGGCTCGAATAATGGCAACAATGGAATTCCAAATGGTTCGCAGAGCAATGTTTCCAGTGAGTTGCATGTTCCACCGGCGCCAATTAACGCCGCGCCAAACAAACCTCCACGATTTGCTATGAGCGCGTCTACTACGAATCTGTCAAAGGTCGACAATTTAACAAAAGACGACGAGTGGGGCTTGAAGCTTTATGGCAAGCAGGCAAGCAGCGTACCTAAAAGGTGAAGTAATATTTATCGTTAGAAAAAAAATCGAAAAAGAAATAAGAAATAGAAGAAATAAAAAAGAACGACAATACGTTTAATATAAAGTGTTTAGCAATAATAAAATTGTTACAAATGTAATAAAAATATAGAATAGATTTATTTGTGAATAAGAGATGTATGGGAATAATAAAATAATGTTACACGTGTTGTGCTTATCAGATGGGAAACCAAACCTAAGATTGTAGTAGACGAATCGCAGGATAACAAACGCGATGCGTCGCCCATTCGTTCGTCATCACCGGTCGCATTGCGATTAAGAGATCCTCCAGAACCGTTAAGTCCGGCACCAAGAGAGATCCTTCATCCAAAGAATAAAGACGAGAAGTTCATCAGCAGAGAAAAACTCGTCGCGAGCAGAGAGAAGCTCACTGCGAGCAAGGAGAAGCTTACAAAGGAGGACAAGCTAAAAGACAAAAAAGACGACAAACATGGTCCGCGTAGTCCCAATGAAGAGAAACATGTAAAGAAAGATAAGAAAAAAGACAAAGAGAATAAGTTTAATGCTAATGACGAGAATCATCATCTGTCTTCCGAAAGAATTATCATCGGCGGCGAGGATGCGGTTAAGAATGCCGCAAATTCTAAGAGTCGCCTACCACATGAGGTTCTTAATCAGTTCGAAGGAAAATCAAGAGAAGTAAGTATATCTTAATGTATAAAAAATATTTCTTTTGAATCAGTTTAATTAATTTAAAATTTTATTATTTTATTTTATCGAATAGAAATATAATTGCAGTTTTTTCGTTAAATAAATGTCTTTTTATCAAAACATTGTAGGATATAATAGAACTGGCATTACAATTGCAAGGACAAATCACGGAGAAGAACAAGAGACTCACCGATCTAGAGGATTATATCGATGCGCTGCTATTACGCGTAATCGAATGTTCGCCGCGATTACTTCAAAATCCTTATCAGAGGCGACTATCATCCCCTGGGAATCAATAAATCATTAATCCTTGATGATAAAGCTTTTCTGTTTTCATTTTGGGATTTTGTTTCCACTTGAGGTACATTTCCTTCGATACCTTAGTAATACTTTCTTTAGACATGACTGACGAGTCGCAAATGACTATTTGTTTATTAACATCGCTATTTTAATTTATCTTTTCTCTTAAGTTATGGCTTAAGAAAGGTATATAATATCTCTATAGCAGTGTTACACATAAAAAAAATTTGTTTCTCTGTATATTTATTTATAATTTATATTTAACGCCGCGTAATAAAAATAATTGGATTATTAGAAACACAAGTAAGAGATAAGTAATTTATTAATAAAGTTATATTCGATATGAACAATGAATAGGATATGAATGCCAGTTAGATATGAAATTCATCCTATAATTCTCTGTCTTCCCAATATATGAACCAAAACCATCGCAGTATATTCGAAAGTTTGTATTTATTTGCGATTGAGATTTCCGTCCAATTGACAATTTGCAGGAAAACTAACGAACATGACTGTATCTTTATCTTTATCTGTTTGTAAATTATCTAAGAACTTTTTGTAAGGTAAAAATAAGACTTCTAAAATAGAATTAATACAGAAGCTAAAATTTGCACGAACCAGTGGTCGACAAAGAAATGTGCCTTTTGTCTTACATATGTGCACTTATATTGATTCGGACCATATCTTGTTAATTAGAGCATTGTTTAATCAAAAACATTGTTAAGAAAAATAATATTTAAATATTCAACATGTTATACATATATATACAATGCAATAAATTTTAAATGTTTGGAATGTTATGCAGTTTATTATTCCAATATTTAAAATTAATATTAAATAATTTTCATATTTTTTTCTCTTTCGCATGGTATGCGTGTGTGTCTATGTGTATGTTTCAATATTTTATTATAGTATATAAATTTAATATTTTAGACATTAAAAAATTTTATGGATTAATGAATTATTGCGATTGATATTCTATTAAAATACTTCAAATATTATTTTTCTATGCTAAATTATTATAATCAATATATAAATTTTTAATGATTCACAATGCTTTAACCAATTTTATATTTTGAGAATCAGAGTCAATATTGTATTAGATAATAAGACTGCTGCAATTAATTGCATTCTCAAATTCGAATCGTGCGAATATTTCGTCTATATTTTTTTTATTATCTAAGCATATAAATTTTATAAATAAAAAACTATTGCAGATTTCATAAAGTATCTATTATTCTGCATAATTTATTAAGCATTACATATAATATACATGATTTTAATATTGAAATATTTGTGTATATAATATTAATTGAAATCTTTCTGGCATTTTTTTATGACATTATTGTTTCATTGTGAGATTCATAAATATCAAAAATCAATGTCAAATATATACTTTATACTTGTTTTACAATTAATTAAATAGATCTATATTGTAAAAGCATAAAAGAGATCGAGCTCAAATTTCCCGCCAGAATAACTGATTTTCAGATTGGTCAATAAAGGTGCAATTTCATTGACGCTAGAAACCAGCGGCAAATTAAAATCAGTAGATTTTCTCTAGATATTGCGTCAATAAAATAAAGTTCAGTTTCAACTTTTTCAGTGTGTAAAGCGGCCTTTTCATTGACGCTACTTTTTAGCGTCAATAAAATTGCACCTTAACAGTTGGCAGCCCTACGAGATAGGCTGTGCAGCACTGCGCGTATATAAAATAAATTTGAAATCGCTTCTAGCCTAATCATCTTCACGCGATCGACTTTATTTGAATTGCACGGCATCGCATCGAATTATGATGCGGCGCCGATTTGTTCGAACGTAATTCGGGACATCGCGATGCTGTATAAGCGTCGAATGAGCACGAATTCTCACGCAAATATGATAAATCACATCTACTCACCGTTCACCGGCTGTTCCACAGGCCGCTTCACTCGCTCGCCTCGGGACGTCCCATTCCGATCTTGATGCACACGATATCATCAACGCGAACGCGCGACACTTTATTCGGCACTCCCGATATTCGCTCGCATCCGATAATCATCATCAAGGGCGCAAATAACGCGACGCGACTTCGCTCCATCTTCGCGATCGCGCTATCACTGAACTGTGAAAAATAGCTGTCGCGCACTTTCACCGACATATTATGAAAGTCGCGCGATCATCCTTGGACACTTTCGACGCTCTTTCACTCGCGATATTCGTTTAAAAACGGTTAAAAGACGCGAAAAATGCGGACGTACGACGATCCGTGTAACTGCGTATGACTCCAAGTCACGTATGACGCGTATGACGTAGCTATGACGCGTATGACGTCGCAGCACGCGCCAACATGGCGGCCGAACCAGTGCGCACTGGTTCGGCCGCCATGTTGGCGCGTGACGTCACTGCGACGTCATACGTGACTCGGAGTCATACGCAGTTACACGGATCGTCGTACGTCCGCATTTTTCGTGTCTTTTAACCGTTTTTAAACGAATATCGCGAGTGAAAGAGCGTCGAAAGTATCCAAGGATGATCGCGCGACTTTCATAATATGTCGGTGAAAGTGCGCGACAGCTATTTTTCACAGTTCAGTGATAGCACGATCGCGAAGATGGAGCGAAGTCGCGTCGCGTTATTTGCGCCCTTGATGATGATTATCGGATGCGAGCGAATATCGGGAGTGCCGAATAAAGTGTCGCGCGTTCACGTTGATGATATCGTGTGCATCAAGATCGGAATGGGACGTCCCGAGGCGAGCGAGTGGAGCGACCTGTGGAACAGCCGGTGAATGGTGAGTAAATGTGATTTATCATATTTGCGTGACAATTCGTGCTCATTCGACGCTTATACAGCATCGCGATGTCCCGAATTACGTTCGAACAAATCGGCGCCGCATCATAATTCGATGCGATGCCGTGCAATTCAAATAAAGTCGATCGCGTGAAGATGGTTAGGCTAGAAGCGATTTCAAATTTATTTTATATACGCGCAGTGCTGCACAGCCTATCTCGTAGGGTTGCCAACTGTTAAGGTGCAATTTCATTGACGCTAAAAAGTAGCGTCAATGAAAAGGCCGCTTAAAAGCTTCCAGCTTCTGGCGTGAATAGTGGTGGCGCTTGGGATGCACGTAGCGTGATAGAGACGATTGATGTGATCCTCCGCGTGTTCTGTGCGCGTGATTTTAGAATTAATTTACCGTGACGATCACGCGATAATGACGGACGGCACCGGCAACGAGGATTCTGCAGTTATTAATTCCATATCCGGTAAGATATCGAGCCTATGTAATTCCTCAATGTGCGACACCGGCCGTGAGAGGTTAGGATTGGTTAGAATTGATTAGAATTGTTACACAGATTTTGAATTGCAACGAATCTTTCGGATGTGCTCGCGTCTTTTAGCTCACAAGTTTTAATAATTTTGATTAATCTATTTCTGATTCTGGCGAAAAAATTTCTAGATCATGATCCTTGTTCACATAATTCTGTAGACACATTCATATGTGATTGATATTTTTATGTCTTTATGTACATATATTATATATTCTATACTTTTTATCTATTTACAAATTAATAGGATATAATTGTTAAATTTCTTGTTAAATTTCTATATCACAATAATATGTAAAGAATTTCTTCATATCTTTCAACAAATATATTGCAGATCAAGGTAAAGCTACAGCTGGTACCGCAGGTCCTGTAGTTTTATATTCAACTGCACAAGCATGGCGAGTCCAATTCTATCGCAGTTTCACACATATGGATATCTTGGAATCATCGGATGAAGAGGAAGACCTGTCTCAATATCAATTTGAAGATGATCTCGAGTATCTCAGATCTCTTGATCCAAGAGATTGGAAAGATCAGGATCATTATGCTGTTCTAGGTTTGAAAAATCTTAGGCACAAAGCGACGGAAGATGTTATTAAAAGGGCTTGTATGTAAAGTATACTTTGTAGAAGAATATATTAATGTAACCTTAATTCAATTGATTCAACATTGTTTTTGGATATATCTAATCTGTATTGTAGATAAACAAAAAATATTAAAACATCATCCTGATAAACGGAAGGCAATGGGTGAAGAGATCCGACCAGATGACGACTACTTTACATGTATAACTCGCGCCTGGGAGACCCTCGGGAATCAACTGAAAAGGCGAAGTTATGACAGTGTTGATCCTTATTTTAATGATAATTTGCCGGATGAGAAAGATTGTCGGAACAATTTCTATGAAGTACTAGGTAAAGCGTTCAAAGAGAATTCACGATGGTCCGTAAAAAAGCCGGTGCCACATTTAGGCGGACCATATACCCAACGAGAAAAAGTAGAGGAATTCTACTCCTTTTGGTATGACTTTGATTCCTGGCGCGAATACTCGTATCTTGATGAAGAAGATAAGGAGAGTGGTCAAGAGTGAGTATGATAAATGATAAGGTTTTTTTTACAGGAAATTATAAAATTAGTATTTATGACGAAATTAATTGTAGTCGGGATATGCGCAAATGGATTGAGAAGAAGAACAAAGCCACGAGAGCAAAACGAAAAAAAGAAGAAATGACGCGAATACGGACATTAGTAGATATGGCTTATAATATAGATCCTAGAATAAAGAAGTTCCAACAAGAAGATAAAGATAAAAAGAATGCTGCAAAGAGAGCGAAACAGGAAGCGGCAAAAGCCAGGCAGCAAGAGGAAGAAAGAATAGCTCGAGACGCAGCGGAAAAAGAAAGATTGGAGAAGGAAAAGAAGGAATCTGAAGAGAGGGCCAGACAGGATGCGCTAAAACAGGAAAGGGAGATGCAGAAAAAGGCATTGCGTAAAGAAAGAAAAGCACTCAGAGACTTCTGCAAAGCGAATAATTATTTTGCCCAGAATTCGGCAGAGAGTCTCCGACATATGGAAAGTGTGGAGAAGATTTGTGAGCTGTTTAAGCTAGTGCAGCTGGAGGAAGCGATGAAGAAATTGCAGACCGGCGGTAGGAACGCGTTTTTAAGCATTATTGAAGAGACGGAGCGGAGGATTGAGGCAGAGCGCCGTGTGAATGTGATTAATAACGATGCGAGAAATATGCCCGAGAAACAAACCAAAACTTGCACTGCACCCTGGAGCGAGAACGACTTGCAACTTTTGATAAAAGCGGTCAATCTGTTCCCCGCCGGGACCAATCAACGTTGGGAGGTGGTCGCGAATTTCATTAATCAGCATAGCGGTTCCACCAGTGGAGTTACACGCGATGCCAAGGAGGTCTTGGCGAAAGCCAAGAGTTTGCAATCAACCGACTTCAGCAAATCAAGTTTGAAGGAGCAAGCTAATAAAAAGGCCTTCGATAATTTCATTGCCGAAAAGAAGAGCAAGGATGCGGTCGAGGAGAGAATGCCAGCCGTCACGGAACGTTTGGATCATCCAATCGCGAATGGTGTTACCCCTGAACCTAAAGACACAAAAAAAGAAACTACACCATGGACACCAGGCGAACAGAAACTTCTTGAACAAGCCCTGAAAACCTACCCTACCACAGTCTCGGATAGATGGGACCAGATCGCTGCGTGTATACCAACTAGAACGAAAAAGGAGTGCATGAGAAGATACAAGGTAAGCATTGAAAAAAGAATATTGTATAACATAAAATCATATTATTACATAAACAACCAACAAATCTCTTTTTGAAAGTAAAAGTAAAAAGTAGAAATATATTTGAAATAATATTAAACATTACGTGTTGTGATCTATAATACCATGCTTTTCTACCTTTGTTGCAGGAATTGGTCGAACTCGTAAAAGCGAAAAAGGCAGCACAAGTGGCGAAATAATATTAACTCCACGTTAAGTTCGAAATTTTTCTCTAACTTATTGAACTCTAGTTAAACAAACAATTTCGACGCGGCGATTAAGTCATTTCTCGAGACAAGGATCTTCTGAGGAATTGGGATTTCCTTCGGAGAATTATAATTGAAATTTAAGACTGGACGACGAGAACCTTAGCTTACTCATTGAGTACCAGTTCGCGTGTATACCTGTGCCTTGCTACAGCCGATACGTGCACGAGTGAGCTGCACGGCATACACAGAAATTTTACATGTTTTTGTTGGATGAATTCTGCGACACATTTTAATTCTTACGCGCTGTACTTGTAACGTACCTTTGATAAACCGTGCCGCTGCCAGTTATTATTTCCGTGGATAAATCTTATAACTTGGGAGAATCTCTTGTGTATAGCTTCCACTTTGCAATATGAATCTTCATGAGCGATCTATACTTCGTGTTGTAAGTACTGTAAAATAAAGAGAAACTGCTGCTGAACAACGGCTGGAGGACAACGGCAAACTTTAGAAACAAACATCGATGTTTGAAATACGTCTGTTGGATCCTTGTCGATAAAATTCCATCCTTGCAATTTTCCGTGAGTACCTATCCTAATTACACATCTATTTATATATAAATTCTCTTGCCATTTTGAAGGGACATTTTGAACGAATAAAAAAGTATTAAATTTATAAAAAAATAATATATTTTACTGATTTGTTAAAAACGAAATATTTTTTCGCGCTTTCTCCTTATTTCGTAAAATATTATATATTTTTCTCTCGTATCAATTTATGAATGACGTTTCTACACTTTTTACAACGAATGATTTTATGAATGATATCTTAACATTTGTAATCCGAGAGTTACAGAAAAAATATTTTTCACGAATAATACAATACGCGACATGAAAGGATTTCGTGAAGAAACGTTTCAATCACCGTTCAATTTTATTTCCTATTTTTCTCATTCCATACTTCAACATTCCAAGTTTATAATAATTCATATTGAAACACATGGCGTTATATGCATTGCTATAAATTTACGAGCGGCGAAATATAATTAAGACGACAATGTATCCTTTCGACGAATCCGTAGTGTATTCAACTAAAATCTAATATGGTAAATGAATATAATTATTGTGCGTTTTGTCCTGTTAGCACTAAATCTATTCGCGTCTTTTTATGCTATTCCCGGTATGTATCACTTTGTCATTATTAATTATTACAATTAATATATATTAAGCTTCGACGATATATTATATGAATATTAATTCTCGGCTATTAATATCAATTTTATTTCGAACGGATCATGTATTTATGAGCAACAAACGGATCAAGAAACGATCTTGATGCAATAGAAATACGCGATTGATCCTGCTAAATCCTTCATCCTCAAACTTCAAGAGAAGAGACACACATAAATATATTTATATATTTATATATATTACACTTTATAGCAAACAAAAAGTATTTTATATCTGATCATTATATATTCAATTATGTATGTTGAAATCGAGCAACTTAAAGTCGTTTTTTCATTTTAATTTCGATTTTTTGCCTTCAATATTAATATTCAATTTAATATTTCAACATTATAAATTTTTCATAAAGTTAGCAAATTTCAGTCATTGTTAATTTTTTTACAATACAATAGGGTATCGATAGTCGAATGTGCATTGAAAAATCCCGCTTAATTTTTGCCGATAATTAAAAAAAATGTAAATCTTTCGTGAAAGATGTGTATTCCCCACAGGAGATTGTTAAACTTTTAAGAATATTTATATTGAAGCCCTCGGATATGGCTGATGCCGATACTCGGAAAACGAGTGCGTTTCGTCGTGGCGGAGGCGTGGGTAGCGTCAACTGTTGCTCGATTCCATCCTGAAAACTGCACGAGCGTGCAACACACGGGGGTGATAAGGGAAAAAGTATAAATGTCGTTCTTAGTACGTTAATGCGTGTGACAAGTCAACGCACATGCTTTCGAATGCCTCGAAATAAACTGATCGAAAGAATCTGAAATAAAGTAAAGTCTCTGCCTTCTGGAGATCATTATTCGCTTTAAAATAAATGCTATAAATTATATAAGTACATATACTTGCATTATAATATTATATATATATTTTTTAATTCTTTTCTCGTAATTCATTGTGACGAAGTACATACATGTTTAAGGTGTAATGGGCCTTATGTCATTATCGAAAGGAAACCTGAGAATGAGGGAACTAAGCTGGCATTTATTCGTGGGATGAATTTATACGTATATGCGATAAAATAAATTTCATTTAATACAACATATAATATTTCTAATAAATTGTTTCTTCTATTTTATTAAAGAAACTTTATTGCATTGCGTATAAATTTAGATGACCATATTTCTGAACTATTCATTTTTATGAACAGCACGGATATGAACCAAATAATGATTTTATCAGTGATACAACAAAGTAGATGTGGCTATGTGTTTCTAAAAGTGGATGTAATGGCGCTACTATATTGAAAGTAGTTACGTGAAATGCCGGCTTTGTTATTACGCATGCACGAGATTTCGCAACGCTGTTTGGAATTCGGAATCAAAGAAGATTTCGACGTGCGTTGCCGGCAAGTATAAATCTCGATACAATCTCGTTATTTCTCAACATTCTTTGTGATAAGTTAAAAGAGTATATTGAGACAAAAAGCGACAATGCCGAAATTAATATTTAATGTTTATTCGGTGTCCGAATTTATAACTCGAGAAACAGAAAAACGCAAATTTTATATCGATAGCGATGTCGCAATGAATTTTGCATCACTCTGCAAAAGATTGGAAACTATTTTTCCGATACTGCGAACAACAAGATACCATCTTCTATGGCGATGTAATTATTTTTTTTTCTTCTATTTTAATGTCATACAAAGAAGATTTCTTGATGTCAGCTATTTATTATATTTACTAATTACTTCGAAATAATTATTCGTATCATCTTCTAACTAAATTTCATAGAACCAAAGAAGGAATATTCAGACTGGATTCATGTAGCAAATAACGAGGAGTTGGAGATTGCAATAAATGAGATGATTAACAAACAAAGCTACTGTGAATTTCGTGTTTGTAAAGATTATTCATTAGCTACATAAATAATAATTGGAAATGCCAAAGAGAAAAAAGATGATGTATCCCAACATAAAGAAGAAATAATAAGTGATATGTATTGGTTGTTCTCTAATATATGTTACTCGCCGCGTTACAGTAAATATCGCGCGAGAGAGGCAGGCAACATGCGCGGCGTCGTGCACGATTTCGACCGTCCGCGCGCAGACGAAAAACGACCAATTTATAACTCGACTTCCGGACGTGATAGCGATTTCGTTCTTTTTGCATAAAATTCTACACCATTTCGCGGCACTACCGTTTAAATCTCGTCCCGATCGCCCGAGGAGCGGCTGATTTACAGTGAATATCCGAAATCTGATTCTTGGACTCACACTTAAGTGTAATATTTATACAGGGTCGTCAATTTTCGACTTTAACGAAATAAAGAAGTAGATTGGCTCGAATTAAGAAGGAATGACCAGTATTGTTTTGGGATTGTCGCAATAATTAATGAAATATTAAATAAAGAAGATCGGCCAATCTGCGTGAGTAGAGAAGCGCGCGGCGACGAGAGTCGTCCCACTGTAATCCGATACCAGCGCGGCGAACAATACAGGTCATTCCTTCTTAATTTGAGCCAATCTACTTCTTTATTTCGTTAGGTCGAAAATTGACGGATACCCTGTATATAACACACAGTATAACATTAAATCATATTATTACATAAAACCAAAAAAATATCTTTTTTAAAATAAAGATAAAAATTAGAAATATTTGAAATAATATTAAACATTACATGTTGTGATGACATTTCGAAGTGTAATGTCATGCTCTTTTACCTTTGTTGCAGGAATTTGTCGAGCTCGTAAAAATGAAAAATAAAGAGAAACTGCTACTGAAGAATGAAGAAGAAGGACGACAAACTTTAGAAATAAACATCGATGTTTCGAAATGCGTCCGTTCAATCCTCGTCGATAAAATTCCATCCCTACAGTTCCGTAAGTACCTATCGCAATTATACATTTATATATACAAATTCTCTTGTCATTTGAAAGAACATTTTGAGCAAAAGTATTATCAAATTAAAAAAAAAAAACATATTTTACTGATTTGCTAAAAAGGAAATATTTTTTCGCGCTTTCTCCTTAATTCGTGAAATATTATAATTTTATCTCTCATATCAATTTGTGAATGACGTGTCTACACTTTTTATGACGAGTTATTTTATAAATAACATCTTAACGTATATTATCCGAAAGCTATAGAAAAAATATTTTCGCGAATGATATAACGCGACATGAAAGGATTTCGTGAAGAAATGTCGTTTTAATCACCGTTCAGTTTTATTTCCTATTTTCCTCATTCCATACTTCAACATTCCAAGTTTATAATAACTCATATTTGGAAACACACGGTGTTACGCACTGCTATAAATTTACGAGCGGCGAAATATAATTAAGACGACAATGTGTCCTTTGACGAATCCGCAGTGTATTTAATTAAAATCTAATATGGTAGATGAATATAATTATTGTGCATTTTGTTCTGATAGCACTAAATCTATTCGCGTCTTTTTATGCCGTACCCGGCATATATCATTCTATCATTATTAATTATTTATTACAGTTAATATATATTAATCTTCGACGGTATATTAATTCCCGGCTATTAATATCAATTTTATTTCGAACGGATCATGTGCAACAAACGGATCAAGAAACGATCTTGATGCAATAGAAATACGCGATTGGTCCTGCTGAATCCTTCATCCTCGAATTTCTACGCGGTTTAAGAAGACACACACATAAATATATCTATATGTACATTATACTTTAGAGCAAGCGAAAAGTATTTTACGGATAAGAAATTTCGCATTGACTTTCTTTTCAAATCTCTCCGATTGACTATAGTCAGACTTTTTCCAGTCGCACATTCGTAATTTTTCTCTCGGCTTTAATACTTACACTATTTTCAGCCGTATATCCTCCCTGATCATTTATTTATTCAGTCTCACGAGATTAAAAATTTTGGTCTCTATGTACGACTACTTTCACGCGACATTACTTAGTTGCGATAAATTTTATAATATATAATATATGAGAGAAAGCGATGTGTATATATATATCTCTCATATATTATATCTCGTATTCCTACTCGCGATCTATTAATTAAGAGCTTATCGTAAATGGAACTTGGCACGTAATCTACAATTCGATGTGCGAATTTTATTCCGTTCTAAAACGGTATAAAGTCGTCGATGAAAAGATGTTACATTATTAGAAAGATGTGGAAAAATTAATATTACACTTTACATAAATAGACATTTCCGCAAGCAAAATTGGTTCTTCCCATTTAAAATTTCAGACGATCAATGTGTTTAATAATTAATATCATCATTGAATTGTCAGATGATTATTTTGTGGAATCCAACGACGATCTTTCCCTGGAAATTTTCGACCTCTTATATCCCTAATATGCGTAATATGAGCGCACACGTGTGTATGGCGACTATAAGCGAAAAAGATCGATTGCACGGTATTTTAATTGCTATGACAATTTTTATTCAGACATCATAAGATATAAACAGACTTCGGATTTTTAAACATATTAGTGGTTCTGGACCGTGGCGCTCCATTTATTTATTTATTTTTTTTTTTTTTGGTTTTTGTATTTCTTTCGTTTTCCTGAGAGAACGAAGAATAGACGGCGATCTATGTTATTTTACAGAGCGTAAAAAATTCTGCCGCTACTTGTGGTCATGTTTACGGACCCGTAGTCTCTGTGATTTTTACACTTACAGCGCTTCGGTATCATCCGACTTCTAAAATTTGGCATATACATATGTGTACGTACTATATATATATATATATATATATATATATATATATATATATATATATCGTAAAGTAACGCTTTCACTTAAGTATGAAGACTAAACAAAAGAAGCGAATAAAAATGAAATTAATATATAAAGCATCAAAATATGGGAAATATGTAACGCAATCAAGGAGGGAATATTATGAATGAAGGACAGAAGCAACAAACCTTCGATCGTTCGTAAAAGCCATTCGAACGAATCGGTCATCGGTGCAAGCGAGAGCTTTTTGGCTTATAATGTTCAGACACAACGCGCATCAAAATAATTGACGTTGAAAAGAAACGGGGAACGTTTAAGAGAAACGAAAAAATATAAGTATATACGATACTCGGCTGTGCGTAGGAGAATTCGCGAAGAAAAGATACGCGAGAGAGAGTGGAATTTCGCAATTGGTCGTAGACAAGCCAAGAGGCTTCCGCGAAGAACGTGGTTCTGAAAGGTATTCCAAACTAGTAAGTGTCAATAGTAAATCGATCTATCAATCGCCCCGATCGTGTGTTCGCTCGCGATCGGCGAAATTCGAGATCTGTGATGTCTCTCTTTGACTAATTATTAGAGATTCTAATTGTGTGGTTCTAGACATGTTCTCCTTGCGTTTATCTTTGTTTTTTTGTTTTTTTTTTTACAACCTGTGACAACTGTGCGTACAAACGGGAAAAGTCGAAGCTTTTTTACGCGACAAATCTCCAGAACCACGCCGATTGACGAGTACTTATAAAATTTACGAGAGCTTAAAAATTTGTCAACGACTATATAAGTTAACATTTACGTAGTTATAGTTTAGTATCTATGCACATCTCCGCGTAATTTCCCAATATCTCACACATACGTTTCTGCGTACTCCAAAATCACTCGAATGACACACATCGATAACGCGGTTTCTACATATATATTGCGGATTTAAAAATCTGAGTTTGTATTGTTACCGCGGCTGCGTCCTTTGCGAGTGAGCTCTTTGTGCGTGAAGGGGGACTTGCGCAATTTCTGAAGGATTTACTCGGTCATTTCTTTCATCATTTTTATCTCATTTTTGTTTGTATAGATATCAAATTATTATAACATTACATTTAATATACACGTATCTGATTATTATATATTCAATTATATATGTTGAAATCGAACACCTTAACATTGTTTTATGATTTTCAATATTATAAGTTTATGAATTTCAATATTATAAGTTTTTTCACAAAGTTAGCAAATTTCAGTCATTGTTATTAATCTTTTATAATACAATAGGATATCGATAATTGAATGCGCATGGAAAAATTTTGCTTAATTTTTGCGATAATTAAAAAAAATGTAAATCTTTCGTGAAAGACGCGTATTCCCCACGGGAGATTGTTAAACTGTCAGGAATATCTATAAAATAGCTACCTCTTTCTCTATTTTTCTCTTCCTCTCTTTCTTTATAAGGCTCTCTGTTGAGCATACGCTTGAATAGATGTAATCTTAAGTTGAAAAAGAAAGAGAGAGAAAGAGAGACTTTACAATCGGTAATTCGCGATCTAGATTTTTGCGTTTCCTACCGTTTCGCCACGCATCCTAATATTTTGACGTAATAAAAATTATGTATCGAGAGTCTCACCGCGTTGTTCCTCCATAAGAAGATCCACAACGTCTTGTCTACCCATTCACACTCTCATACCCTTACCCTCGTTTGTATAGATCGAGATTATTAATATACATACATACATACATATTTATATATATATAAAATCTCGAATCTCTCGCAGTTTACTCGTATGGGCCATTTATCCTCACGCACCTCAGCGGAAATATACGCGCGCAAACGGTGTTATGTACACAATTACAAATACGAATAATATCTATATCGTCACAACATATCGCGTCAATAGTGTACAACACACTCGACTCGCAGCTCTCTCTCCTCGCGCAATAATAATTCGCAATAATAGTCGTTTACTTTGTCTAAGTTGATAAAAGTCTTTCTCTGGTCCGAAAGAAGTTATAGATACTTAGGCACTTGTTATCTCGTCTAGAATCCATATATACGTACGAATCATGAGTTGTAATTATCGTGCTAGTAACTGGCAATCATCAGAACAAGGTTAAGAGACTAATTAATAATGAGAGCAATAAGAGTGATTAGATCCGCCGATGTGCCTCTCGCGCATCGTAACATGGTTCGTACTTTTTCACCCTCCTTTAACCCTCTATGACGTTAATTGGTTTATTTTAGCGAATCACAATTTGCTCGCTATGTAGAAAATAATTTATCCAATGGGAAATTATAATGAGTGATAGAAAGTTATATATCAAGTTTTACGTTTATTCTTATGAAGTAATAGTAAACGTTTGACAAAGTGTCATAAAGGGTTAAGCTTAACGAGCCTTAAAAAAGAGGGTTCAGATTGCTAGAACGAAATAGACGAATTAAAATGATCAGATTCATTTCGGTGAGATTGTATTTCTAATCTACGACACAAGACAAATTGGAAAAATGTTTAACTCGAGACTCTTTTATGTGTCTCTTTTTAAAATATTAATGCTAATTAATTAAATGTAATATAACGAAAGTATTTTATATATTTTGTGAAGAAGAATTTTGTTTTAAATTTTACGATTAACTGTTGATTTCGTAATTTGTTGTCCTTTACAATTAAAATAAATATCAACTTTCAGAATAATTATTAAAATCGAAAGTAAAAAATTGTTACAGAAATTTTTGTCTTTTATTTTAATTCGTCTATTCTCCATATTGAGTGCACGCGGCATTCGTCGTGTCGTTCTTGGTCAGGACATCGAACCGAAAACGGAGATTAATGTTAAACAGGAACAATGGTAAATCTCTAAAGGACTGTTCCTAGAAGTAAACTCAATTCCATTCGGGAGCCCGGGTCCTCCCTAGATGCTTCGTCAACTTTAGCGATCATTCAACGTTGAAAAAACGAAGCTCTGTGCTGCAACGATTCGTCTCGATCGTCTTGATCTGTCGCATCGCGGCGAAAATATATATTATTCTAAGAATTTATTATATATTCTTGCGCGCCTAAAAACGCGCGATCGAACGCGACTTGATTCGCTCGATCGAAACTCGCACGAATCTCGATAGAAATACCGAGTCAAGTTAGGAATCAAGGCGACCCAAAATGTGTCGGATAAAACACTCACGCTTGGCTAGAAAATATTCGCTCGAACGAAAATACATGGTTCATTGGTGCCCGAGCGTATCGCAGGATGAACATCTTGAACGTCTCGAGCTGCTACATCTTTGCCTCGTTCTTTCCCCTCTTCCCCCCCCTTAGACTGAGCCAACTTTTTGTCTTTCGAGTAGCATCTCTCGATCCGCATCTAAATATAACTATAAATATTCAGAACAGTTCAAAACGTCCTCTTCGGGACAACAACAATTACGATGATCGAACCCCACGCGGCATGAATCCATCCAACTCGCGCGATCGATTCAGATTCCGCTGATAGCTTCGACGTTACTTCATCGTAATCGACGATCTCGATCCTTCGGCGACTACTCCCATTCGAAGGGAGTAGGAGTTTTCGGGTTACGTGGACGACGTTTGCGTCGTGACAAGCGAATTTTCGTCCTGCTAGGACGGTGGTTGTCGCTGTTGTTGCTGTTGCTTCCGATTGCTGCCGCGATGACGATAATCGGAGGATTGTAGTTGACGATAGACGGGCTGGCTCGGCGGCTGCTCCTGTAACGGCTGATAACCGATACCGGTGATCTGATGTTGCGGTTGTTGCGGTTGTTGCTCTTGCTGTTGGCCACTGCTCCACGGCTGCTGTTCCGCCACATTTTGCTGCAACTGATAAGACAAGGGCTGACCGCGTCGTTCCTGTAGCAACAGTTGATGCGCCGCTCGATCCATCTCCTCGCGCGTCATATCCAACGCCTCTTGCATCTCGCGCGACGTGTATCGCACAAAGTCCGGGTCGCAATACTTGCCCAAACCTTGCTCCACTAGAACCTGAAAAGTGCACGACGAATATTATTATAGGTTGAAATAGATGACGGAAAACTATTAATACATACATTCGCATAATTTAACTATTATGTATTAATTCGAATACTAATTATATTGCGAATGAATTAATTTAATTGACTTCTGGGAAGGATAAGTTAAAATTCGCTAAAATAAAAGTTAAAGGAGTAAATTAAATCTCGCTAAAATATAATAGATTAAAGAGATAATTAATTAAATTAATTTAAAGAGATGATTAATAGATTAAAGAGATAATTTTAGATTCTAAAAAGACGTTTTAATTCAACAGATCCGTTTTTTCGATGATTTTTTTTTTATTTATTTATTTCTTATTTTGTAATATTTTTGTAAAACTCACCCGACCGACGAGGCTCTCCGCGCTTCCGATGACCTCGAAATTGGGCTTCCGGTCCGCGGGACTGCCGGGCATGCTGTGGGACAGGCGCTCTGCGCCGACGCTTCCGTTACTCTCTGCAGTCCAGGAAACTGACGAACGAGGAGAGGCGTCAGAGTGTTAGCTCGAATAAATCATGCCCTGCCTCCTTATTGCTTTCGATTCATTTTTGCCAAGGCTTATTTTACAGAATTAGCGAGAATAGCGCACACAAACCGATTAATGACACATGAGTGTTTTTTGCAAGCATCGCAAAATTATTAGGTACAATCGAGTTGCGGTTGAGTAAAAGCGTTAGGTGAAGTCCGTGTTAGGATGTTAGTTCGAAAGCTGACAGAGCGCGTGCTTCGAGCAGCGATTGACTACCTGAGCAACACTGTTTCGTATCCCCACGTCTCTCTTCGTATATTCTTGTCGATTCCTCTTGGAAAATTTCATTTGCCAAGAGATGCAGGTGCAAAGATTGAAAAATAATCGAATGAAGAATGATTGTACCTCGAGCTGTTTGATTTCGTGAATAAAAATTTAGGTTTTACATCAGTTTTCATTCGATTAAACGTAATTTTAAATATCAAAAATTTTAATCGTAACTTTAAATAAACTTATTTCTAAACGAAGTAAAAAATATTTATTATGTGTCTTAAAAATATATTTACAGGAAAACAGAGAAATTATCAAAGAAAATCGTAGAAATAATAATTAAAATATATGAATATATAATTTAAAAAAATGAATTTAATAACAAAGAAGAATCCCTAAAAAGTATAACAAAAAATTAATGTGCTCGTGTTTGTGCATCATTATATCTTGATATTAATCCTTTACGATCAACGATATTCTGCGACAATATTAAATTTTCCACTTTATTTTCTTTTGTACCTGAATTTTTTCATGAAATAATATAAATTGTAAAATTTAAACTATATATTATTTCGACTGCATCTGATGAAAAAGAAAATATCTCATAAAACTACGTGTTGCAGCAAGACAATTTATGTAAAAATCTTGATCTCGTTGAGGGAAAAAGATATATTTTCGCAGTCTACCTGGAGAGACTGTATGCGCGATCGCAAAGGATTAATTCGCGTGCGTTAATCACCTCTGCCGTGGTAAGACGCTCGGTGCGACAAGCAGGAAGCGCAAACACGCCATTGTCGCGAGTCCACGTCGGCGAGGAAGCCGGCCACGGCGATGGCCTGGTTCTGCGCCATTTTCAGGCCGTTGGCGATGGTTCGCGTGCCGGGGCCCGACGTGGCAGTCCCGGTCGCGGACCCCGTCGTCGTCGTCGTCGCCTCGGCGGCGACGCCGGCGGTTGCGTCGCGCGACCGGAAGCTCGCCGGGGCCGACTTGCCACCGGCAGTCGCGGGGTCACGACGGCCCCTGGATCGGCGCTTCGTCGACCGGCTACCCAGCACGGTGACGTGGGGTTTTCCTGTCGTGCCTCGCACGACGCCGCCCTCCGAATGCGGGTTCCATCTGCCAGAATCGCTCGATCCGCTCCCCGTTGACGTGTCCTCGTCGTCACAGTCGTCTACGGCTGCGTGCGAGCGGACACGGGGACGGTTTATCAATGAAACAAGCCTACATTTCTTTCGTCCGTAAATCAATCTTATTAACGCGACAAGATTTTCTCGAACGCGGTGTTGAAAAAAAAATAGATTTTAAAACGAATAGAAATGTGAATGTAAGTAGAAATATTTTGATTTTGATAATGTTGATAAAAATTATTAATTGTTCGTCATAAAAAAATGAGAGTTAAAATACTAAGTGAATCATATTCAAAATTCCAAACTTTTTGTCATGCTATTCGGTTATCGTCCTCTATTAATTTTGTAGATTTATTTACTTTTACACACCGATTAGTTTGTACACCAGATTTTTGTCTTGGCTTTTCCTTTTTTTACGTCAATTAATTTTATCCAACTTTTTTATGATTTCTTTCATTTACGAATATTTATCTTAAAAAAGTATTCAAGAGAATTTACTTTCATTAAAAGATAAGAATTTAAATTATACAATTCAATAAAAAATGGAGGAAGATTAATCTTTGTAATTTTTTTAATATTGCATACTATTTCTGTAAATTTTTCCGTCAGGATATTGAAAAATTTGTGATTACAATTATAAAAAATGTTCGCTGTGTTAACATTTTATAAAACCATTGTACGTAATGTTGAAGAAGTTTTATTCCAATCAAAAAAAAAGTATATATATATATATATTTAATATTGCAATAAAATTTCCTGAATAATTAATAATACAATACCTTCTTTACAGAGTTAACAACAAATATCTCAAAATTTATGTTTATAGAGTTATGTGATAGAGAGAAATTTATGGAATTCTCGAAATAGTATACAGTATTAAAAAATTACGAGAAATAATTATTCACTTTATACATGTTTTAAATCGCGTTAATCGACGTATTGTCCTTCCCTTGAGAACGGGAAACGTCGTATGATTTTCGCACGACTAAACCGGCATTCCCGTACCGTGATTGCTCCAGACCGCGCAATCGACGCAGCATCCCCGCGACGCATAAGTATAGTAACAGTTCGTCCCATTCGACGAGGAAGCGGGGCTTGAGCTCGTCGCGATGGTCGAGGTGTTCGCGCTCGTGGTGCACGACGCGGTGATCGTCGTCGTCGCGACGCTCGATCCGCTCGCCGTGCCCTCCGCTGCGGTCGCCGATGCCGCCGCTGCCACCGCTGCCGCCGCCGCCGCCGCTGCAGCGGCGGGGATGTGGCCGATGCCGATGCTCGGGGTGCCGGCGGACGAGTGCGGTGGTGCGTTCCGTCGCGGCGGAGGCGTGGGTGGCGTCAACTGCCGCTCGATTCCATCCTGAAGACTGCACGAGCGTGCAACACGCACACGCGGAAGTAGGGCGGGGGCGAAAAGGGAGAAAAGACAAGCATAAAGGTCGCTCTTAGTACGTTAATGCGTTACGCGTGACAAGTCAACGTACGTGCTTCCGAATGCCTCGAGATTACTAAATTGATCGAAAGAGTCTGAAATGAAGCGGAGTCTTTGTCTCCTGGCGTTATTCATTTTAAAATAAATGCTATAAATTATATAAGTACATATACTTGCATTGTAATATTATATATATGTATTTTTTAATTCTTTTATTTAAGACGTAATAGGCCTTATGTCATTATCGGAAAGAAGCTTATGAATGAGGGGTAAACTAGCGTTTTTCGTGGGACGCTTATGAATTTATACGTATATGCGAAATAAAATTAATTTTATTACGCTTATGAATTTATACGTATATGCGAAATAAAATTAATTTTATTTAATACAACATAATTTTTCCAATAAATTGCTTTTTTCTATTTTATTAAAGAAAATTTATTTATTGCATATGCAATAAATCCAGATGGCCATATTTCTGAATTATTCAATTATGAATATAGCACAGATATGAATTAAATAATGATTTTACCAGCGATATAAAAAAATAGATGTGTTTCTAAAAATAACATTGCTATATGGTCCACGTTAAACACCGGCTTGGGCGCTTTTAGCTTAGTACACATGCGCGACATTTTGAAACATTGGTCGAAATTCGGAATCGAACAAACAACAAAATATCGATGACAGTTGCCGACAACAAGTATAAATCTCGTTATTCAACATTCTTTATTTGTGATAAATTTAGGAAGTTTATATATGACACAAGAGGCGACAATGCCGAAATTAATATTTAAGGTGTACGAAAACGTATCTCAAAACGCTGAAATTCGCAAATTTTATTTGGACGCCGAAATCGCGAAGAACTTTACATTACTACGCGAAAAACTGGAAACTTTTTCCGATACTGCAAACAACAAAATACCATCTTAAATGGCAAGGTGATTATTTCTTTTAATGGTTCTTTCATTTTGATGTAATGCAAAAGAGATTTCTTGATATATGCCCACTATTTACATTATGTTTACTAACCACTTTGAAATAACTATTTGAAATGATCATTTTTTAAATTTTACAGACCAAAATAGAAATGGAATGTTAGAGTTTGTTCGAATAGAAAATGACTCTAATGAGGAGTTGGAGATTGCAATAAATGAGATGAGTGAGAAACTCAGCTTCTGTGAATTTTTTATTTACTCTGATGAAGATTGAATATATAATTGATAATTAGAGATGCCAAAGAGAAAAAATATATCTCAATGTATCTCAATATAAAAGAAAAATAATAAGTAATATACATATATTGCTTGTTCTCTAATATATGTTTAAAAGTTTTATGTTTCATCTCAGACTTCATCTATCTTATTTTGAGTTTTCTGAAAAATTTAATTATTCAAAAGTTTCTTTAAAGATAAAAATTTTATTTTTAATTTTAATGCGTTTAAAATTTCAAGTAGAAATTATTTAAAGTAGTTGTAAAAGTGATAAAAATTTTTTATGTTTTATTGCAGATTTCATTTATTACTTATTTTGATTTTCCTGATAAATTTAATTATTCAAAAGTTTCTTTAAAAATATAAATTTCATTTTTTATGTTAATGCTTAAAATTTTAAATAGAATTTAACATGGTTGTAAGTTGGTGATAAATAAATTTGCTTTGTAATTCAGAATTTTTATCGAGGTACATTTGAGATTTTTCCTTGTAATTTTATCTTTAAGATTCTTATCGAGGCATATGGAAGCGTTCAACAAGCATTATCATTAATTATAATGATTAATAGTAATGCAACATGCGATCAGCTGTAAGCACTACGATTGCGAGATACAAACACATTTCGTTTGCATCTCGAAATGTATATGCGTCCCGCGCGTCTAATTCGCAACTCGGCTCCTGTTAAACTAAACTTCACGCGAATATCATATTCCCGGTTCTCTTATAAAAATATTATTTAAAATATGAACGAGATCCTGGAGATATGATTCAGATTAGAAAAACACATGCAAAACAAGCAATGCTGATGAACAAAAAAAAAAGATGAAAAGCCAACTACCGATGGCAGAGTCCTAACTTGTCTTACCATATTCGCTATTGGGATGAAGATAGTTACGGCCCGATCCACTGAAACGTACGATAATAAACAGAAGAGCGAAACGAGAGGTGACTTGAATCACCTCGCGCGGTGCAAAAAAAGCTTGTCAGAATCTAACGAAACAGATATTTTTTCGCGAATTGGAATATTTAGCAAGAAAATCCGATGCTCCCTATCGTCGATATAAATGCGTTATCGTTCTTTTATTATTACTTTATACTCATTATCACATATTTAAAGGAGAAAATAATTAAACAAAACTTGATGTGCATCTATTTTTCTCGATTAAATTTACAAAAAAGTAATTTATTTCGCGACATATTTAGCCAATTAAAAAATTTAAAAAAATTAAATTAATAAGCCTTTTACATGCATTATGACGTGATACCGAGAGAGAATGAGATTTGTTATACGGAGACTAAAGTCGATTACGATCAAACCGAGAGACAATAGATTAACAAAAATAGAGGATTGCGACTTTGATCGCTCGCATGTATCCTGTACTTACTCGACCACTTTATACGCGCTCTGATAAGGCGGCTGTTGTATCGGATTGCCGAAAGCAGCGAGTGGTCTCAGAGGTATGCTCTCCTCGACGCCCATCAGACGCGCATTCGTTCCCATTTGATTCATCGCGCCATCGCTCAGACCACTAGACATAATTTTTTTACGTATAAATATATTAACTTATAAATGATTATTAATTTAATATAATTAACGTAATTTGAAAAATTTGTAACCTTTTTCGCGAAGAGATTAAAGATATATATTCTATTAAATTTATTTAAATGCTACTTTTGATAGTCTCTAAACTTTTAAGATAATTAAATAATATTTTCTTATTTAACATATATTTTATTAAATGATAAGATTCATAATCGAAGTAACTTTTCCTTAAAAATTATATATAGTTATATACAAGTATATACATACAATAAATTAATTTATATAATTATATGAATTAATGTATAATTGTATAAATTAACTTTTTATTCGTTGATATTATGTTTTTTAAAATAAACTTAAAATTTGTTGCATATTAAATATATATATATATATATATATATATATATATATATATGATTATTTTGAACATTCTGGAAGAGAAAGAAATTTCACAAAAATGATAGATTGATAATATATAACAAATAAATACATTAAAAGTGTAAACAAAATATAAAGAAATGTAAAGAAACATTATTTAAAGAAAAATTAATCTATTAAGAAAAAAAATTGACAGAAAGTTGTATTAATTAAAATATAGAAAATACTCACCCTGCTACATTTGGCACAACTTGGTGAGTAAATTTCTTAGCAGCATCCGGGATAGCGGTCCTTCGTAACGAAGCGTATGGTAAAAAGTCTATAGAATTGGTCGGGGAAGCCTGTAATCAAATAGATTTCGATTAAAATGTAATCAAAATTATATCTGAATTAGAGAATTATGTGATTAGAAGATCTTTCATTTCATTTACTTTCGCAGTGGTAGAGTTAACTTTTAGCGATCTCGCTCTGTGAAAACTGTGATGTCCTTTACGCATACTGGACCACACGCTACCAAAAAGTGAGTGGTTTCTCTGAAAAATCATTTTCTAATTTAATTTATATATTAGAGAAGAAATTTTTTTATATATAAATTAATAAATTAATAATTAATATAACTATTATTATTTAAAAGTATTATTTAATTACTAAGAGTGTAGTAGCTTACTCTATGCATAGGTTCTGGATTGTCATCAAGAAGTTCCTCCAAGTTACCGGAAATTGCGCGTTTCAATTCGGGACCAGCTTCGTGTAACGTCCTCAACCCGGCCTTTTAAATTAAAATTAAATTTAACAAAGAGAGACAGAGAGAGAGAGAGAGAAATAATATCTTATTATATTATACAATTATCTCTTCAGGAATTCTACAGTTATTCTAGTTATCTTTTTAAAGACTCACTTGAAGAGTCACTGTGTTGTGACAATCTCTGTCTCCATCTTTCATTTCCTGTTCTTTGCGTTTTTTGAATCGCCGGAAATAGTCCTGGATGAGGAAGGTCGCGTAAAACTTGCCGACTGTCACCTCGTCGTCCACTAGAAAAATCGAGTTAAAGTGTGAATTCAATTTTACGAGAAAAAAAAAACAAATACGAAAACTTTACTTACCTCCGGGCGGCGGAACAACCTGATCCAAAAGTTTCGGACTCGTTCTCTTCCAGATCTTCTTGATTACCGCCCTGAGTTCGGCGTTCGCGTCGTCGATGTTGCCTTCCGTTTTGATCCTCAACGAAGTTCTCACGACGGCGAATAGTGTAGCGTTAAACAACACGGTACCGTCGCTGTTCAACGGCATATTCATCGAGACGAGTCTCTAAATTTTCAAGATTGGAGATATAATCGTAATATTCTTATTTTATTATAATCATTTTATCGACAATTTTTTCGTTTTACTCGCGATTTCGTTAGAACGATGTTCGAACAACAGAAATAATGTGTAAAATAAATATGTTATATAACGTTACATAAGATACCATGTAGAGAAAATTAATAATAACATTTATGAAAATAAGAATAACATTTTTATATGATAATATATAAAGTAATAGTATATTTACATATTTTTATATAAAAATATAATATTTTCTGAGTCGGTACTGTAACGTTATTATAGATATCTTTATATAGATCTCTATCATAGATATACCCTATAATTATAAACCCTTTATTAGCTACTGACCTTACAAGCTACTCTATGAGGACATAGTTTTCCGAAACCTAAAGGTGGCGATATTTTCCTCAGTAGCGTTACCACATCGAGATGTTTAATACGTCCCTTGGCGTCGGGATCATATTCTGACCACAAGCGAATAAATTCGTCCAAATGATGCGGTCCAAGGATCGACCAATCTCTCGTTAAGTAGTCAAAGTTGTCCATAATAACGGCGACGAAAAGATTGATGATCTTTTTCGCGATATATGTAATACAATTATTAGATTTTTAGTATATGAAGAAATTTTAGTATATGAAGATATTTTTAAAAATTGAAACAAAATTAAATTATTAGAGAGCACTTACGAGAAATGAGCAGAGCACGTAGAAAGATATGAAGTAGGGAAATGCAATGTCCGATCCGCAGGTCTCCTTCTCTGATTCATCGCTATGGCTATCGCATTTAACGATGCCTGGCTGCGCCGAGCAAGCCATCATGATTTCTTGCCACGCCTCGCCTATATTCGCAAATATTCGAAAGGCTCATTTTTTTTCAGTAATAACTGTACACTCATTTTTTTGAGAGAGATTTATTACATTTCTCATCGAAAGAATTTAATAGATCTGCTGATCCAAAAAATTTTTCTTCATTAACATTACAATACATCTCGAATACTTACCGGTCGCTGATCTAAATAAGACCAACACGGCTTGCGGAAAGGACTGGAAGTTATTGTTGCGATTTATCGCCGTATCGTCGTCTATTGCAATCTTTCCAAAGACCTAAGGAAAAAAGCTCGTTTGAACCGTCGTTTTTTAAACGCTTTTAATGTCGCGTTTTATCGCTCACCTGCATGCCTATCACAGCGTAAATAAAAAAGAGCATTATAATGAGAAGGGCGACGTAGGGCAAAGCTTGGAAGGACTTGATGAACGTCCATAAAAGCGTTCGGATACCCTCCCCTCTGCTCAGTAACTTGACCAATCGCATTACGCGAAACAGCCTGAAGAAATTGATGGAAATAATGCTGGATCCAGGCTACAAGAATCATAAAATGCTTTACTTACAGTTTCACTTCCGGATCTTAAATATATAATCGCAAATATTACCTTAGATGCTCGATCAAAATCGAGTGATACTTACGTTAACTTCTGAGTAAACGATATCGATGAAACTTCCGAGCACGATAATAAAATCAAAAACGTTCCACGCGTCGCCGAAGTAATTCTGCAAATTAATAAGAACATAAGCATAGTTGCTGGTATAATTAATATATATGAAAGATTCCTCAACGTAATGGGAACGTATAATGTGTATAATAAAAGGATAAATATGTGCATGAACGCGTGTACGCACCTTGAATCGAAACGCAGCCAGCTTGAATACAAATTCAAGGGCGAACACGGCGGTGAAGATCATATTGAGAATGTCCAGAGAGTGAGTGTAGATTTCCGGTTGCCGATAGAACTTCATCGCAAGCGTCACGGTGTTGATCATAATCAACGTGAATATCGTGTACTCGAACGGTTGGGAGGTGACAAACCACCAGACTTTGTACTGTATTCGATGCTTCGGTATGTATCGGCGAACTGGCTTGGCCTTTAGCGCGAACTCGATGCAATTTCTCTGCACAAGAAAAACTCAACTATTGATCCTTCCGCGACGGAGAGACTCACGTATGATCCCAAGATACATACTTTAAAAATATAATGAGAAAAAATATATTTATGAAATCGATAAAATACAAACTAGAATATTTGAATACGCAATTTTTCTCGTTGGCTGTCTGCGATTTTTAAAATTTTATTATTTTTCTGTTTAATAAAAATGTTTAATAAATTTTAATAAAATTGCATTATATTTTATTTTCAATTATTGTAGATTTAATATATAATAACGTGTTTCGTTAAGAATTTCGTTTGTTTGAGAACTGGAAAAACTGGATTAACTGAAATTAAAATATTCTCGGAAGCATATACATATGTATATCTTTCGTCATGATGTAAACGTTAGTTAACTTTAATTGAATTCGCGCGATATATTCACCTGATTTTTATCGAGCTCGCAATTTTTGTACTCTTGTTCGCCCTCGTTCTGAAAGGTGACAATAACGAAACCGACGAAGATGTTCACCATGAAGAACGCGATGATGATGATGTAGATAATGTAATAGGCAGCCACTATCGGTCGATAGTTATGAATTGGTCCATGATCCTCTTGGTTGGAGTCGATCGACCATTCTAACAATCTGTTAGGAGACAGATGACACGATGATTAGATAATATTTCATATCACTACAACTGTCTGTCTTTATTTATTCGCTCGCAATATCATTATACTAGATCTATATTTATTGAAATAATATATGAAGAATAAGAGATACAATACATAATACAAAATCCAAATGATAAGAAGCGAATTCTGTCAAAGGACAATATGTCGGCATTAAAGTTGTTATGAGAGCGAAGGAAACTTCGTTCAAGTAATCTTGTCTTTAATTCGCGAGATAGAAGCCTCTTGAAAGGAATGTTTCTCGGACATAATGCGAATGTACTTACGATGGCCAACCTTCGAAAGTTGAGACCGTGAAGAGGGTCAGCATCGCCTTGGCGACATCGTCAAAGTGAAAACGCTGCTGACACCACTCTCTTTGTTTCACGACCGGTCTATTAATGTTACCGTCATCGAATTCCAAATAAGTACCCCTAAAAAAGAGAATACATTGCACAGTTTTTCTGAAAGTAAACTCTCTCTATTTCAATTTCTTGATTATGCATGAATATGTGATAAAAATATTGTGTTACAATTTTTCCCCTTATTACATTTAATATATCTGTAAATTTCGTCATCAGTAGAGCACTTTATTATGATATATACAAGATCGTTGATCTTTAAAAAATATATTTCTTTATTCATATATCTTAATGTTGGCATTTAAACGAAATTATACATGTTTATTTCATCGATTTATTAATTTATAACGTAATGAGAACTTACTGGCACTCGTCCTTTGTCATTTTCGATGCATCGGTACAATAGAAAAACTTGCCCTATATACAACACAAAAAGTTCATCAGTTTCATCATTAATACATGTCCATTAACGGGACTAAATTTTGCGCAACATGTTAAAGCTGCGGGTGAGACACACTGGCGTTCCTGAAATTCAATTTAACGCCATTCATCAAGCTAAGTAATTATTTTTTGCGCAAATATAGCGCCCAAATATACACGTAATTATCTTATGAAATAATCGATTCAATATATATTTACGATGTGATGTAATTACGATACATTTCAGTCTCAAATTATTGTTGCATAAATAAAAAAGATATACTTTTGTTACAAGTCTCAAAGTATTTTTAGGGAAAGAAATTTGTCGCGTAAAATTGAACACAGCGATCGCCAGCGCGTCGATTTTGTAAACATCAGCTGTGAATCGGCCATTCCTTTGCAAGAGCATTGTCAGCGTCAGCAACAGCCAGATGTGATCGAGCAAAGTATGAGAGGGTGTTAAAATGTGAGGCGAAAACGTGATAGGAAAAAAAAAAAAGAAACATTCCTCGTCGGCACGTGCATACATATGTACAACAAGGTACGATGCGTGCGATCTTCCGATAGTTCCGCGACTATATCCGTGAACAAAGTAAGCGTAATTCTGTCACACGCTTGGCTTGGAGTGCATAAGCACGCTGAGGGGGAGAGATGTGAAAAAAAAAATGAAATTCTTCGCCGTCCCCTCGCTTTGGAACCTGCGCCCATGTGGACAGAATGAGATGGTGCAATAATCGCAAGAGAGAGATCAGTCTCGAGTCTTTCGAATTATTATACTCGCGAAAATTGATTTAATCTCCTTTGTTGCTTATAAATTTTATTCGACATTAAGATTTGTTCGATGTAATAAATTTTTGCAAATTTTTGTTATCCATAGTTTTAAGCTAGACTGTAGCCCTAAAGATATGAAATTTATCTATCTTTTATTTCAAAAAGATATTTTCTCAACAAATATATTACAGACATTAATGTGGAACGTAATTGATATGGAAATAATATAATTATAAATTAATTAATATTATATAATGTAATATCGATGTAGACTTGCGATAGCGCGTTGGTGTATGAAGATTAATTGATACAAAACACAGTTATAATTACATTACGAGCATATGGTTTTAGAGCCATAGGGTAGATAATGGCATAGTTAATTATAGAAATTTTAGTATCAAATGAATCTTAAATGAATCTGCATAGTACATTCAAATTACACGCGTTATTTCATTTAAAAAAATAATACGCGAGGAGAAAAATTGGAAAGAGACGGCGAGGTATCTTGAATGCAATTATTGCACCTGAACGATCGAAGGAATCGCAATTTGTGACATACTATGCGATATAATGAAATGTTGCCGATGAGATCATCGTGTCTACATGATCGCTCCATATTATCTGTCGACATGGCGCGAGCCGCGTGGGCGAGACTCGGACACGACATGGGGAAAAAGCACGAACAATGGGCCATCGTGACGCGCCAAATTGTACTAATTGCCACCTACGTAACACGAGCTGGTGCGGGCTAAAATAACGAACATCAGATTGAAACAACAACGCAGCCCACCCATACCCGCTGACAGCAGCGCGCAGCTGACGATTTTGTGATCGTCTCCCTTCCCTCCCACTCTTCCTTTCTCTTTTCTACCCATCCTCTTCTTTTCCATTTTTTGTAATCCATAATTGCTTGCAAGTAAAAAAGCACAGGCATTGCACGTATCGCGGCTCGTGCAGAAGCAGCACTATTTCGTCGCGATGTATATATTTTTTTTACATCATATCTATTAATTCAGATATTGTGTTGATGAAATAAAAATTTTTTTGTTTATATATATTGAGGAAAAATAATATCTGTACGTAAAAATGAACGTGCCTGCGGCTTGTGGGATCATTCTGGGATAGATAGCCATAAATATTGGGACCGCAAATGTCGAGATAGATGGTCATAATGTGAAAGACATTAAAGCATTTCATGGAATATTGCCAAGTGTGTTGAGAATATGTCGACGTCTAATTAACCTCCGCTTCTCTCTTGTTAAAGATTATTAAAGAAACCTTAATGAGGTGAGTAGTCCCCTTTTATGACCGTCTATCCCGGCTTTACTTCATCATTGGCATATTAAAAAGCGTTTTATCTCTCGTTAAATGTATCGTTACATTCTGATAATTCGATTTAATTCGTTCGATTCTCATTTTCGCGGCAAGAACATTTTTGATACGTGCGTAATTTTAACGACAAAAGTTGATCTTCCATAATAATTATTACAAATATATGCTAATTAATTTCGACATGAGACGCGTAAATATCTCGTCAACGATCTAACGCTCAATCAATTTTATATCAAATTTATCACCTTTCTAAAAAAAAAAATCTCGTTCGACTTTTATCGGATCGTAAAGATATTACACTTTTATTCCGCTTGATTTACCAAACGTCACCAAATTGCATTCTAACGAATATTTTTCCCGCACTTATTTTACCAAACAACTTCGTCAGATTGATTGGACTTTAATTGATGTATTAAATACGATTCTTACATAATTTTACTCTTGTCGGTTGATTCATACTCTGTCAAAATAATATTTTCCTAAAATAATTCACGTGAATTAATATGATTACATTTACAAATAAAATTATTTGCGCATATTCGTAATCAAAATAGATAGGAAAATCCTGCGATTTAATTTTAGCCTCGCCTCATATCGAAACGCAACAACCGTTCGCGCATTTATAACATTCGAAAAGAAGAACAAAAGAATATATTTAGATTCCATGCAACGCGTCGTAAATGCAAACGAACCGTAACCACGAGGTATATTCTGATATTCTTGTTAAATATCGTCTTCGCGTTAACGATTGCATCATTATGTAAGCCGGCTTTAATAAGCATTATTCGGGAAAAGCGAAGAAACGACGTATTTCATTCGTATCGTCTCGTCGCGGCAGAGGCTCGGAATTTCAATAGAATGCAATTTCGCGAGGCGCGAAGCAATATTGATTTTAAAACGTTGCGATGCGGGATGGTTACACATTGTCTATACATCGCATTCTACTTCCGGTGTGTGTATGAATACGAAGTCGAACTCGGCGAAAAGTCTCGCGCCATGTAATGTACATAGAGTAAATGTTGAAACTTTTGTCGCAGCTTTAGCATAAGGGAAACTAACTCTAACAGCACATCACGGGTCCGGACCGGACCCGCGTGCGAGTAACTTTAACACTATTTCATACTTTGCGGCTGTGAAACATAATGCTGTCTTACGAACATCTGCGTGATCTTTCTCTATAACTGCTAATTTTTTTATCTAAACCCTAAATTTTCAAGTATACAGTCTCTTCTACAGTTTCCTCGTGAGATCTTGTGAGTTGGAGAACTGGTGTTTAGTCGTGACAAAACGAAACGATTGAGTTGATCTAAACAAAAAAATAACATGCATTTTGATTTCAAAGAGATCGAAATTATTCGTATATCGATACTATCTCTGACGAAAATAATTTATGATATATGTGTATTAAAGAGTATTAAAATAATTTATGATATATGTGTATTAAAGAGAAAAACACTAATATTGTTTATCTCAATATTAATTTATAAATTAATATTTGTCGTTAATATATAATTGCGAAAATTTTTTAATCTTTATTAACTTTCTTATTAATGTTAAATTTTTATTTCTTTATTACGATTTCTCTAATGTGTCAATTTATAATATATACCGAATATTTTATATAAGAATTCGTTTCGTTTTGCCACGTATTCACGTATTCGTGTAACTCGTGGTTTCGGTGCACGTGGACGGCCAACATGCACTACGATTAAAGCTTCATTCTCACATACAGCGAAATTGCATGCCTGGTTAAGGGGTGTCTATCTTTAAAGGGAGATACGATATGGCTATACGGTATGCGTATCGTTGATTGTGTGAGAGAGACGAGAATAAATATATATATATATATATAATGTTATATACAAAAATATAAATATATGTATATTTATATATATACAATACATAGTTTGCACGTCGACGATAATTAAACGACAATCTCGCCTGGTTTTTCTTAGTCAGAAGCGTTATACTGTTAATAACAACGTTACCGTGCTCGAGGGTGTTGCCATAAAAGAGGGAGACGTACAAAGAAAGAGATACCAGCAACGAGATCGTATATGTATGTATTTCCAGGGTAATCCATCATCGTTTCGGTCTATCGTGTTAGACTCGCATAATTAATAATCGATGGCGCAATGATATATCGCCCAGATAATCGAATAATATTCATAATTTTTCGCAATGAAAAGAATCTTTATATGAAGAAAATTGCTTTCGTTGGATATTGGACGTGTGATAGTCGTTCGCCATGTTATGGTATTTTACGTAGAAGCTTTGCAACATGTTCACTTTGACATCGTAAAACGTTATATCTTGCTGCTGACATCCCCTTGTACGATTTAAGATGAAAAATAAAAAAAACAAAATAGAGAAAAAGAGAGGAAGAACTTGAAACACAAACTTAGGCAAAGCTTAGCTTTATGAATATTTTGGAAATGTCTGCATATTTTCTCTATAATCGATAACTTTTTTTAATTATAAGAAAAATAAAGAAATTATAATAAATCTACAAAATTGTTTGCCTAAATCTGAAATTTTGCGAAGGAAGAAATGTGATGAAAAAAATAACAATTTTGCGAAATACGGAGTAATTATATATAAAGAAATCTAATTGTCTATTATTATTTTGATTATATTATTCAATAGCGAGTTTTCCTTTTTCCCTCCTCTCCTAATTTTATCGAGTAATATTACATAATTTTATTTTGATTCATAAAATTTGTAATATTATTAATACCGAATAAAATTTTATGATCAGGTATATATATATATACATACAAATTTGATGTTAAATTTGATTTTAGAAATTAATTAATTAATTAATTTTTAAAAATTTATTTATTATTTATTTTATGAATTTATTCGGTCTCTCGAATTTCTTATTTATTATCATGAAGATTTGAATATTTAACAGCTTACACATCTAATTATACAATAATTCGTTATCTCATCACTTTCCATCTCTCTCCGTATTTCGCTTAGAAAAATTTGATCGCCGAAAATATTTTGCCGGACATTTTCCATTTCGTTGTAATCGAACAACGAAAATGAACGTAAGCACAAGGAGAGATGGTAGAAAGAAAATACTAATAGGAAAAAGAAACATGGGGGAGGCACAAAGACAAAGTGGTAACGCAGTTTTTTGTTCGCTTAGTAAGCTTTTCTAAGTGGATGTGGCTGGATGTCTCTTTACCTTAAACAGCTGTACCCCGATAACAGCGAACATGAACTGTAGGAGATAGGTGACCAACATAATGTTGCCGATCGTTTTAATGGCGACAATCACACACTTCACTACGTACTTTTTTCACGTAGCGTTTTCAGTTGCGGACGAGCAGGGGCGAGCGAGCACAGCGGGAAACACGTGGGGTGGTGAGAGAGTGAGAGAGAACAAAAAAATAGAGTAGCATTAATTTCGGGTGACCAGGTATTACTCCAGGGGAAGGGCGAGGGAAAAATTATTAGGACGGCGGGCTTCGAGTGGTGGAAGTTCTCGCCGCGATTCAAATTTTTCTCTCTTTTTTAATTAATCTCTCGTCGTCTCGTTCGCGCTTCTTAGTCGCTCCTTTAACGTTTTAGCTCGCTAGCTCGATTATCCTCTCTCGTGCTGTCTCTGTTGTATTTTACAAATTTCATTTACCGCGGCGATACACGATTCGTCCGATACCTTTGAAAATTGCGCAGCTTCTCTCTATTTCTCTCGTGAAAATCGCTCTCGATTCGAGAATTTTTTCAAAGCTCTCTCTTTTTTCGATTTGCCCTCTCTTTTCTCTTCGTTTTTGGGAAGGGAGTTACTCCCTTTTTTTCATCGTGAACTAAGCCCTCGCCATCCATCCGACCCATCAGTGCTCGATGTTTTTTCTCAGCAATGCACCTATGGGGTTTTTGGACCGGGAAACTTCGACGTTTCCTCGTAGAAAGTCGATTTTGCATGCGCGACCACGAGCGTGTTCGATAAATTGGTTACATCTGTGAATCGTGTGGAATATCGCTCATTCGGGGGTCGCTTCTCGATAAAATTGGCAGGTATCGCGTTCGAAGCTGTTATCACTTCAAATATATATATGTCGTGCAGATCTCGAAAATTGCAAGCTGAAATTGAAACGATCTGAAAAATTCTTACGAAGAAGTAACTCCAATAACGGATATCATAAATCGTCGTATTTATATTTCATCGATCAATTATGATTAAATTCTTTTTCGTGCATCTGACAGAAAAATATATCCCGCGATGTGAAATTTCATTTTACCATAAATATCTTTCTATTTTACTCGTTACTTCAAATATTATATATACTTTTACACATGCAAGATTTAAACCTATGTAAAAAAAAATGCTACTCTCAAATTTTTCTCGCGATGTCCCGTTGCAGAAAGCTTCGCGAATTCTCGAAATTAAAAATCCCGCCTCAAGCTCAATCGGCGTCGCCCCAAAAGTGCATTTATTATCCCGCGCAATTTATCATCTTTATCACACCTGCAACAATTACATTGTGATTGCTGCGCGTATTTTAAAAGAGAGCCACGCATCTTCATCCTCTCGCACCCTGTCGATCGAAAATTTGAAACCAGGCACTCACGAAACTAGCTTGCGCTTAGTTATTTCTGTGACACCGAATATGTCGCATAGATGTGTGTGTGTGTGTGTACATGTGTGTGTATGTGTGTATGCGTATGTGTGCGTATGTATATCGTGTGTGCGCGTATGAGAGGGGGACATGGTAGGGCGATCGATACACATGAAACTACGAGCGATATATATATATACAGTTAAAGAGAAAAAGAGAGAAAGAGAAAGAAAGAGAGAGAGAGAGAGAGAAATATATATATGTATATATAGATGTATAGACAGAGAGAGAAAGAGAGAGATATATATAGATAAGTGGATAGAGATAGGTAAGATAGATATAATGTTGTCGGGCCAAACGACTTGTCTCTGCCTAAGATTAATCAAAACAAGCTAATATAAATATAGTCTAGAGAATGTCAACTATTCTACCATCTTCTTTTTATGTGTGTGTGTGTGTGTGTGTATGTGTGTATGTAAATTATTCTATATCTCTTCCCCTATTGTACTATTAAACGCCGAATTTCACATTTCAATATTTTCGATCAGTTTCGCGAATATCATCTTTCTATGTCAATATGTTGCTAGCGAAATATCTCGTTATTCAGTCATTCCTTTATCGAGCGAAGAACTTTAATATCTCTTACGGAACACTTGATACTCTTGTCCGCGAGTGTTTAAGAAGCTTTCTAGATTGAAAAATTAATGATACTTGTGAAGCTTCGCAAGAGGATGACAAGTTCGATAAAGGATTAACGTGATCGCAAAACGATCATCGTTTCGCGATATAGAGCTAATCGAAATAAATTTGAGGTTTGTAACGCCTAATTTAATCTAATCGATATTGATTCATCTAACCGCTTACATCGAACTAATAAGTTTAAGTGAAACTTTATATGAATCTTCTTTTATCGATCTCGATTGCCTCTGAATCACGAAAGGTTTCTGTTAAATAACTTTTCAATTTTTATTTGTCTGCTTCTGTTTGTACAACTCGATAGCATAATAATTAAAGGCCATATGAATATCATCAATATTTAGATGTGTAAACTTCGTTCACTTTAGTAATATCTCAAGTTGATATCAGATTCTATGCATCGTACATTAAGATTGAAGAATTTGATCAGGACAAAGAGTTCTCTGCTCCTTTTAATTAACCTTTTTCATTAGTCTCAAATTTGAATCTTTAATTTTCAATTTCAATCTTCAATGCAATAGTTTCATATCGATTTTCGCATTTAATATTAAGCCGAGTTCACGAAATAAAATTGGACGATCGAGATCGATAATTTCTAAGCCTATGAAAACGAACGGAAAAGAATTGCCGTGGTGCTTCCTTTTGCAGCAATTATGGGTCTGTGCGCGCGTGGGACCTTCTTTCGTGATCTTTTCCCCTTTCGGTTATTCGGCGACAGAGTCCCGCGGCGAGTGGAGCTTATGAACAAAAAAATAATGCCCTTTTCTTCTTTTCCTTCACCTTTCGCTCTCGTGTTAATATAGCGGCACACCACTCAGCAACGCTCAGCCGGCACAAGCATGCAATTTTCAAATATCCTCTACTACTCAATCTTAAAATCACGAAGGCTGCGTGAGTCTTATTTTTTATTTTCTTTTTTTGTTGTTGGATGGATAGAAGTGTGTGCGTGTTAAAAGATAAAAGTTGAGGAAATTAATACATCCTTGACTTGAAAGATATAAATCTGTGGATGTATACGTGTCCACGAAGTATATACATCAGGTATGTTTGTTGGGGGAGGTCGCTCGAGCCGTATATCGAAGGATATCTTTAAATAATCATGAGAGCAACTGTGTGTATTTTTATAGACGGAGGGTTTCCTTCGTTTCCACACAAAAATATCGAAGAATATACGTTATGTAGCGATCTAAATACTATTAGGACCATACTACATAGAATTCTATGTAAGTACATACATTTTAGAAGAAAGTAAAAAATATTTCAAGTTACATTATATATATATATATATATATATATATATATATATATATGTATTTTTTATTAATTCGATAACCTTGCGTGATTTTTTTTTTCGGCTCATGTATCGATCTGCCCCGATTATTTATAGTGCATAAAAAAATTACTGTGCATCTTAATATATAATCAAGTAATTAAATTTACTTTTTATTTTGTTTATATATTTTTAAGATATCAGTAATTTCTTGAACAAAATTAAAGTCCATAGAGTGTAATCAAAGAGTTTCCAAAATGACAACATAAAAGATAATTAGCTAATCTGAAATCTTATTTACAAATTCAAGTTTGTTTCTTTGAACATCAATATGTATCTCTTCTATTTCTTAAACAAAAATTGCGATCAAAGAGTGTAATCAAAGAGTTCCCGAAATGGCAACATAAAAGATAATTGGCTAATCTGAAATCTTATTTACAAATTGAAGTTTGTCTCTTTGAACAATATATATATCTCTTTCAGCACCGCATTCTCATGTTTTAGAAAACACTCTTGGAAATTTTTTTTAATAGTTTATAAAATATTCGTTTCAACTTGAATCTCATCCACCCCATGAAATCCTATGAAGACGTTCTTTTGAATTTTGAAAAAAGGTAAAAAGTCGTACAAAATGTGACTATCGTGTGAGTTTATATATGATTTTTCTCTCTTCTCCAGAATTAAAGAAAATCATCAAAAGATATCGATTTGACGACATGTTTGAGATTTAAATTATATTATATTGAAATGGCGAATTTTAAATTCACAAAAATATTAAAGCTTGAACATTTTTTATGCACTATAAATATACGTGTACATGTGAATGTATGTGAATTTATGTGTGTTAATGTGATTGTTTCGTGTCATTGTACAGCAATGTAATTTATCAAATCTCGAGTAGTAAAAAGTTTCGTAATAGCAAAAAGAAGAAGATATATATATATATCTTATATAATAAAATATAAATAAAAAAGGATATATCGTAGATGTGTCCAGCTGATGGCAACAAAAAACGAAAGCCGAAAGAGCAAAGGCATGTTAGGCTTTGCGTAAAGCCGCTTTTTTTTTGTTTACACTCAACTATCTCCGATCTGCTTTTGAGCTGTCGCCCTTAGGTCACTCATTCACTATGTATACGTTCATATAATACTATATTACATGTGGGACAATCTACTACAATAAGATCAAATGGAGTAATCGAGACCATTGGATAAATAAGATAATGTTGCGTAATTTTTTATATGGGAGAGAATAGTATAATTATATCAAAACTGTCAAAATAGACGTGCAAGTAGTTATTAATTCGAAGAATATTTAAAGATTGCTATCTCTAAACATTTTTTTAACATTACATTAACAAGTCATTGTCCTATCCAAAGATTTTAATTACCTCACTCAACTTTACACTTCCTTTTTACAAATTTTTTTTTACAGATTTTAATAATGGACCATGTATGATATATATAAATTTTATTGTTATATTCTAATTATTTTTCCATTACGTTTTAGAATATATCTAGCAAACAATTATAATTCAATTTTGTTTTGAAAGAAATCGGATATATCGAAACAATATATTGAAGCTCGCATGAAAGAAATTTTCGCGGTGATCGTATCATATATCAATGTGTGTGTGTGTGTTGTGTGTTGTGTGTTGTGTGTGTGAGACAAAATTGTTCTGTCTCTTTGCAATAATTCTGAATAAAATCGTACACATAAATGTACGTAAAAATCACTATGCAATATAATATTTCACGAGCTATTTTTATTTCTATAGTCTAGCGAGAATAATGTGCGTTAATAATGTGTGTTTTTTGCAGTTTTTCACGCGAAATCAGCAAACAATAGCATTTTTCTTTTGTTTTGATGCTATCAACAAACAATATCAAAGTAATGTAACTTCTGCATTTTCTGGGAATTTTATTTAATATTTAAAACGACATGCATATTTGTTAATATGTCTCTATCACGGATTATAGAGTCATGCTATACATCTAGAGAAACAGATCATATTTCTCATAATTAAATTGTCGGAAATTGTCACTAAAGAACTGTTTTCATATTAAACCAAAGACATATTATATATTTTTATAATATATTGAAATAAATGGTTTTATAATGTGTAGACAATTTTGATTGAGCGAGAGAATTTCAAATAAATTTCAATTAAATTTCATCCTCGTATCATTTTTCTCAAGTTTTAAATAAATACTTGGCCCCCCGGCTTTGACGTAACAAAATAAGCAATAAATATATAAATTTATTTACATGGCATGTAATTTATATTATCTATCTTTATTTCATCATGTGATGAACCTTTCAATTGATAAAAATCTATTCCTTTTTTCTTTTCGCTATTTAAATAATTGTATAATACATCAATTTTATTACGGTATTTATAAATATATTATTTACAAACAAAATATAATAATAAAGGGACTATCAAGTTATATACATCAATGACGTGATTGAACAATTCAACATCGGTTTATTATTGAATGAGCTACGTCAATATAAAAAACAGGACAATAAAGATGAACAATCAAGTTGGCCTTTGATAAACGGGACGCTGATGTCACAATCTTATACAGAGGGGAACACAAAAAAAACGCAATCGTGGCCCCAGTGAGAGGTTTCGGGGAGAGTATCGAGACAAGAAATCCAATTAATGAGTAAGTTACACGCCAAAAAAATAGCTTGTTTCAAGGGGGAGGATACCCAGAGGTGCATCTGTCAGAGAAAACAACATTCGCCTCGTGCTCGCGCCATTCCGACGATTATTTTCCCACGTGTCGTTGTTGCGCGCATCGATCGATGTATGTCGAATCGAGACGTTCTCTTTAATTGGACCATAGGTTCGTTAATTCCGTAACTTGACGCGGAATCGCGCGCGATTTATCGATCCGCATCGATATTGTCGCCAACTGGGATTTTTTACGATAGCTTTCTGCAACGATCATTGATGAAACTTACCCGAGTTATATATTCACACAAACGTGTATAAAAGTGTGCAAAACGGTGGATAAAAATCACCAAAATCACGTGCGCGTGATAAAAATCCGGTGCGCAGAGAAACACATAATTATTTAATTTAATTGTAAAGCGAGAAGCTTTTGAACGTATATGTTCTCTCGAAAAATAGAGAGGCTTAATCGTGCTTTTTCAAGATCACTACAATTAGATGGATAATGCTCGCGGAAACAGACGTTAATTGATTATGAACCCGATTGCGTATTTCGCAACAGAGTGGAAAATAATCGTCGAAGAAGCTGCCGAGATCGAGCAAAGGCGTACTTAAGTAATAGGTAGTTGTAATAGTAGTAGTGGTGAATATATGGTGATGGTGAATTATATAGTTTTTTTGGCTGAGATTGCATTAAAAAATGTGTGGACAAACGGATGAATAAATGTTCAAGTCTAGTCTTGAGAGAGAAAGAGAGAGGATGGGAGTTTTTAGGGCTGAGATTTTTTTAGAAGATGGAGCATGAGGGCGAGGGTCGAGGGAGGAGCGGGGGAAAGAGTATCAATTGATAAAACATTATATGCCACTCTAGTGTATACTACAAGAGGTTCGGAGGAGAGCTTTTTTGGGGCCGTGTCGGTGTATCGGGGCCCGATAATCCTACCTTGAAGAGCTGTACGCCAATGACGGCGAACACGAACTGCAGGAGGCTGGTGACGAGGACTATGTTTCCGATAGTCTTTACCGCTACGATGACGCACTGTACTACGTGCTGGGTTCACAACATTAATTCACAATATATATTCGCCCTTCGCTGAGATGGAGAGATGGAAAATTATCGCGTTAAACGCTTCTTAGCGCGTATATTGTTGGCGACGAGTTCGAGTAGCTCTCTCGAGGAAGTCGCGGAAAGTATTGCTGTCGTAGAGAGCGCATCAAAATCTGGATTTCTCAAGTTAAATTTCTTTAATTAGGAATTCGAGATTATTTCAATTTTCGAAATGAAAGAACTGTACGTCTCCTTAATATCCATTTGCTACGGAGATTTTTGTTAATCGGTTAGAAAAGAAATTAATGATAAATAACATTTGTATCTCGTATATAAAAAATAAAAATTGTCGCGCGATCCTCGCGTGGGAACGGAAATAACTCGTTTGCGCGATTTTTCCAAAGTCAGCTCGGCGCTCTTCCACCATTTGTATTGAATAATCGCGACTTCGCAATCACGGTCGGACTAACGGGAGCGTACTCTTTAATTTAGCTGGCTGTGGACATTACGGTATATTATGCCCTTGGCGTTACTATTACGTTCTACTGTAAGGACGCGTATGCTGTGTGAATCGGGCCGGTTTTAGCGGACTTGCGGATAGGTGAGACAAATGAAAGAGATACCTTTAATCCTTTGGCGCGATTGATGGCACGTAGCGGTCTCAAGACACGAAGTACTCGGAGCACCTTGATGAAAGAGAATGCGCCAGTGCTGCAAACATATACATAAATATAAAAGATAAATAATTAAATCAATATAAAATAAACATAACGAAAGAAGTTATCTAGAGCGAGCTTTATCTTTCAAATAATCAAACTTTTTTTCACGAAAAATTCTGACTTTCATTTACAATTCACATAACTTTTATATAATACTATGATATGAAAAGTTGCATAATTATAAATATAAATAGATATAAAATTATATATATATATATATATATATATATATATATATATATGTGTCTTGTTAAAAATTCAAGATAATTCAAGATAATTATAATCATAATTGTGTAAATAATTAAAAAATAGCTTATTTATATTTTTTAAATTCTTATATGCAAAACTGGATTAAAAATATTAATATCTAATGTGAAGAGAAAGAGAAATGTAGTGAAGAAAACAGATAGATATGTACCTGACAGACATGGAAACGAGAGAAGCGCAAACGACGAGAAGATCGAGCAGATTAAAAGCTGATCGGCAAAACGCGCCCTCATGGATGATGAAACCATATGAGATCATTTTGAGGCAGATTTCGATCGTGAAGACAGTAGTGAAAAAGTAGTCAAAGTAATTCAATATCTGTAACATACCAAACGTATGTATGTATGTATGTAACACTTATTTCACAGACATTTTTATATTGATATTTCTTAATAATAAAGTTTCGAGAGATAACGGAGTTATTAAAAAAAAATCAAACATCAATTCAACGTAATTTAAATACTCGATTTCTCTCCGCCGAGGCGCTCAGCGGATCTTCGGCGGCCAACATGGCTGAGGAAATCATAATGCAGACCAATATCACATTGCTGAAGTAACTGTGATTGCAAAACCAATGGCAGAAGATGCGAAACCTGCGAAATGAACGAAAAGAGACACGAAGTGAACTTCTTGAAAGAAAGATACTTGAAAAAAGTTGAGGATATTTGACATCGAATTAGCTTTCATTTTTATCTTTGTTATTGGAAAAATCTTCAGGTAGCTTCTGTATACCTATTGGTGCTTGAAAAAATGAAGAATGCCGAACCGGCTGGTATCGGTTCCTTTTTGGTTGCCATGTTATACTCAGACATTCTCCGCGGTCTAGCTGATATTTCTTGCCCGTCATCTAAAAGAGAATTTGATTTTTTTTTTTATAAATTTACGAGAATGTATTTTATTTCACTCGATTTAGCATTTCTATATTAGAAATATTCGTATCTTATCTAAAATTATTAGATTAATCGAAAAATATCACTCAGTTTTCTTTTCATTATTAATTTCTGAAACAAATGTAGGAAAATTAGGATAATGAAAGCACCTTGCATGTCCTGATCATCACCTTCCTTCTCTTCATCTTCTTCCATTTCTTCATCAGATTCAATGTTGAGTCGCACTTTGTGCGTATTCATATCATCGCTTTTCTCCGATCTGTAATTAGTAATATGCAACATAGAAATCAATGTTCTAAACTGTTTTGAAATTGATATCTTTAGGAATTTAGTCGTGGCATTTTTAAAATTTTATTTGAAATCTATAGAATATAATTAATTATATTTAATATAAATAATTATACATATTTATATATATATGTATTTATTAAAAAATTTATTTAAATATTTAATGAAAAATTTAGTGATGAATAAACTTAGTGATGAATAATTATCGAGATATCAATGTCTTTATAAAAAAAAAGGAGATAAAAATCTTCAATTATCTTTACAAAAATATGTGATTATATGACAAGATACATTAATATCTTGATACATTAATATATTAATAATTAAAACTTCATTATTAAATTTCATTAAATTGTTCAACAAATTTTTTAATAAGTTTTTATAATCCGAGAACCTAAAAATCGTTGGTGAAAAGGCCCAGCAATAATGAATTACGAAGTAGCATGACCTATTATTCCTTGAATCGCGATTGTCGACTTTTGCGGATCTTGCCATGCATTACCAACCATAATAGCGTTGCATAAGGAAAGAGGAAAGAGAGGGATGTGTAATAGCTACCCGCTAATCTTTTGTCGATGTAATAACACAGGCTACTGTATTATAATTTACGCTGCGTTATGCAAGAAAAGGGCTTACGTTTCGGTATCGAGTGCGGCCTCGTAGTCCTCCATTGTCTCGTTAGGATCTTGTTCGAGATCCGTGCCGGCGCCCTCATCCTCCCCACCGGTCCCCTCGCCCCCATCATCGCCTGCCTCGCCGCTGACTTCGTCCCTTGCCGGTGAACCGCTACGAGATTTATTTTTCTCTGCCTAAAAAATAAAAAAGGGGAATTATCTGTCAAGTGGTTCGGTCGAAAAGTAACAATGATCTTGTGCAAACAGTATTCCGATAAAGTACAACAACGTGTTTTCGCAACTTCAGAGATAAGCGTTTATTAAATTAAAATAAAAATTGAACTCTTTTTAAATTTCAATGTTTAATAAAAAATTTCTTATTACACAATTTGTAACAAACAATTAATTTGTTTACTTATTAATTAATTTATGAATTAATTGATGATATTGGGCATCATCTAGTAGTAAAATACGGACAAGAGTCAGACTATATTTAATTTAGCCATTAAAATTTAACTTGATTTAGATTATTATTTTACTTGTACTCAGTAGAATATCCTTTTTATAAAACATATTTGCAAGGGTACATATATTTTTTTATAATATAAAATTTATTAATATCTGACAGAAAAAATATCTGTGAAATATATTAAAAATTTAAATAAAGAATTGGATTATAGAGTATTTTTGCTAAATAATTATAATTTTGTTGAATAATATTAGAGAATATCTATTTAATAAACTAATGAAATTTTATAATCAACATTATAGATATTCTGACGAGATTAATATCATTATTATGCAAAAAGCTTTTGCTATAAGCTGATATTACGTAAATAAGAACATAAATTCATATACAAATCCATATACAAATATTTAATTTATGATTGTTATCGTAGTATCACTTGTCGAATTTACAAATTAATCATATTTCATTAATATTTTTGCATATCTATAACATACAAACATGTCCATTTGTATATATAGAGAAAAACATGAAAATTCTTTTTTCCATCGCCGTAAAAAGCCGTAAGACGAACGTGATATAAACACTCGTAATAAAAAATTTAATAGGGAGCAGTAAATTTTTTTATTACCATGATCTCATGACTTAAAAGTATAGTGAGGTACAGCTTGCATTGTAAGAGAAAACTATATATTTTTTACTACTTGTTGCTGTTGGTAAATAACAGCGTGGAATATGCTGCATATTCGATTCAAATATTGATTTGTTATCATATAACTTTTATGTTTATTATTAAAAGGAAGGAAAATATATATATATGCATATATTATAAATAAAAATTTATACATATATTATAATTTATGTATGTGTGCGTATAAATAAATATGAGAAAAGATAATATTAAAAGTATAAATATAATATATATTCAATATGCGCGGAAATTTTTTGAAAATATTGAATACAGAAACTGGATATTGGATAAACCAAGAAAATGTACAACGAATTTTTTATCAATGCAACGAGAAGTACGTTATACGTTGAAGAAACGTACGTTTTACAGCGGCGTAGGATTTCCACTGCGCATTCAACAGTTTTTCATCAATGTTGTTCGCTGTTAGAAGTATGATTAATCAGCTTTTGAACTCTGTCGTCGCGGTTTTAAATTACCTTACGAGTAAAATTGCATTGCTTGCGTCGCGTAAATTGCAATAGCTATATATTTGATTAAAGAAGTCGTATACTGTCTCCGGATATTTCAATGTAACACTTCAAGTAATTTGGTCAGTTTTATATCTATATATTTATTTAAATCAATAATAAAATTGTTTAGCATTTATAAAAAATACCACAAAATCTATTATAATTCTAATCTGCGACATCCTTTAACGCTTTTGAAGAATTAATCTTTTTCTTAAAGAATTTTTTTCAAAAAGGATTATAACTTCAGGTAACTTGTAATTAAAAAATTCTACTTTAGAATACAATCGATGCGAGTGATTGATGAAATAATCTACCATTAAAGATTAATGGGATTCTAGAAGACATTGTATTTTTTATTCTAGGTAATATTAAAGGGTTTTTTTTCGCACGAGGAGAATGATATTAATTCATTGGCCGAATTAATGTTATCGAATCGATAAATTTTATGGAATAGAATCCTAATAAGTTTGATAGTTTCGTACGTGCCGTCATTCAACAACATCGTACAATAGAAGAAAATTGAAGCGGCATTCTTTTTATCACCCTGTACAAACGCTATTAAACGCAACGCTCATTTACCGTGATAGGCGTCATTCTGTCGTCGTCATGCCTTTAGACTCATTCGAGCGGACTCGCATTGTCCATAATGTGCTTCGTGATATTCATTATTCGCAAATGCTTCACGCAACATAAAAGACATCGCTTCTCTTGAGACATCAGGCGGCGGAGAATTAGCCTGATCGTTTATGGAAATCCGGAAAAAACAGCTCGTTCGAGAGAGTTGTGCAATTTTGAAATCTTTCAGACAAGCGACATGCATATATATGAATTTATTGCTTCGATATTTTCTTACATCAAGGAATAGCATATGTTAATAATTATATATTTTAATTACTTCTTGTTATATATTTTAATATTATTCATTAATTTCACGAAGGGATTGAAAAGTTATGACTTTGGGACAAATAAATTGCTGTATAAAGAGAACACTTCAATATATATATAATCGCAAGAATTATCACTTTTTTAAGGATACGATTTTTATTAATAAGAGCTCTTTTTTTAATTTTAGTAAAATAAAAAAGAAATGAGTTTTTCAATATGAAATGTCGACGCTTAAATAAATGTAACGAAGCATTATCGAATCTATATTGGATTCATATTACGTCTGCAAAATTATTGACAATCTAATACATTATGTATTATGTATGTACTGTGTTGAAACTCACCTCCTCCTCGGCCTCCTTTTCGATGGCAGTTAGAGACTCGGCATCAGCGAGATTGTCGACGGCGATAGCCAAGAACACGTTCAAGAGGATATCTGCATTGCTATCTTCGTCAAGGATCGATTAAAATTTATTAAATCAAGCCGGATCGATATTACTGAGTCGAACGCGACTTTCAATTTAAAAATGTGCGAGAAAAACAAGTGACGATTACTCATCGAATGAATTCGTCTCTTTTTGATAAAGGATACAGTTGCCGCATATGAAGAGGATAATAAAATAAACGCAGGCGAGTACGCCGATACTGGCCACGCCGCCATAAGCTTGAATACCGACGTACATCACAACGTTCCAGTCCTCGCCGGTTAATATCTAGGATGCAGAAATCAAATGTATTCCATTTTATTTTTAAAAGTGTAAGAAAATAGAGGAAAAATGTAGCAACCCGAAAATAGGCAACAAGATCGATTGTATATTCGCGATGAATAAAGCGATTTAATATCGCGCGCGCACAATTTTCTAAAATTCCGCGCTTATTTCTTTACGGAATGATCGAATACCTGAAACACGGTAAGCAGACTCTGCCAAAAGCTGTCGAAATTGTGACGCGTTTTTTCCTCCGACTCGCTGAAATTGAACTTTCCACCGAAGACCTATTCAAAAAATAAACATTGAAGGAATAAGTGAAGCGTGCGTATATGTGTTTTCGCGTCGCTACGTTTTCACATTAAATCTACCTGCATGCCCAGAAGAGCAAAGATGACGATGAAAAGAAAAAGCAGGAGCAGCAGCGAGGCAATCGATTGTATCGAGTTCAGTAGAGAGGCCACTAAATTCGATAGTGATCTCCAATATCTGCAAAGAGAGAACAACAATGCATCTTATTTATCCCGAATATCAGAGCTCTTTGCGTCTGTTGGAATATTCTTGTATCGTTATTTCAAATATCGTTGTGACTTAATTTTGCAAGAACTTTTTTTACATTAAATGTAAATTACGTCTCGAAAAGAAATACTCACTTTGTTACTTTGAATACCCTGAGCAACCGGACGCAACGGAGCACGGAAATGCCAAGAGGCGGCATTACACGTGTGTTTGTAAGTATCATTTCGGTAATCGAGCCGATCACGACGAAGCAATCGAAACGATTAAACAACGAGACGAAATAACCCTGTGAAATAAATGATAGTCGCCAAGATTAAGAACGTTCAAGATATTTAAAAAAAATTATGCGTCTTTCTATTAAACGAGAGAAAAAAGGACAAAGTAACGCTTTATCTTTGTTAATAATTATACATTATTGATATGTAAATAATAAAAATCCAAATTAAAATTGAATAATGTAACATTAATATTTATAAACTTTACGCTATATTTTTTATACCACAAGAGATTGCTCACCTGAAAACCTAAACTGTACATCTTTAACATCATCTCCATGGAGAAGAGCACAATGAAGAACATGTTCGTGATTTCTGATGGCAGATGAAAGAAGCTCGCGTTACGAAATGCATTATCAGAGACGCCGGGGGGATTTATAATTAAAGGCAAACATACGCTTGTAAGTCGACTTTATTTCCGCTAAGCAAGCAGCAAGAGGCGGTATTTACCTTGAAACTCGTCCAACCAGTGCGGCTGATCGTAATGTTCTGTAGCGAGAACGCCAGTATTCAAGAAAACCAGAACTATGATGAGCCAATAGAAGACCTGGGACTTGACTGCCTTTCGGCAGGCTCTTCGCATCCGTCTGTTCACTCTGCAAATTCGCATCACAATACGCGAATGTAAGTCTAAAGTTTGCGCTTTCGCCCACTCACGTTCGCGTGTATACGAGCGCTTAGCAAACTTCTTCGAGCTTGTTCGGATAAATGATGCTTTGATCTCCATTGAGACATTCGTGTATATATATACGCGAATTTTGCGACGGTATTTCGGGAAAGGAGTTTCCTCAAATCTAATACGCACACAGGATCCTCAAATATTTACGACGACGACTCCATCGCGAACTTTATATACTATTTCTTAACATGTAATTTCTGTAAGAGTATAGAAAGTCTTCAAAATCGATTACCTCTCTAGGTCTCGTTTCTTCTTTTTCCACACAGACTCTTGTTGGATACCTTCCTCATCGCCCTCCAATTGATCCGTGCTCTCTATTTCGTTTTGTTGCTTGGCTATAAAATATCAAACTCCGTCGATTAATTAGCATATTATATAACTAGGGAGAGAAAGTTATTTCATTTCATGGAATTTAGTTTAATGAACAAAACTTCCCGAATTTAGATTATATACTGCTTTAGATTATATGCTCGCATTTACATAAATATTGTGTAAATTTAGTTGCATAAATGCTGATGCGATATACATCGGAAAATTATATATAAATTTTTAACAATTATTTTACATAAATATATATAATTGTTTCCGATATATTAAACGTGTAATGTAATGAAAATCATATAACTATTAAAATATTTGTTTCCAATTATTTTCAACATATAACAATTTAAAAAATGTAAAAAATATATATAATATTATTATTCTATATATTTATATATTATCTCTAACACATATATTTTTTTTATTCAAAATACGTACTTTTTCCGTCTTGCTTCGATTCGTCAATCTCCGGCTCGATGTCCTCGGCTTGCGTTATCCAGTCGAGGTAACCCCTGAGATCATCCTCGATTTGCTGTTTCTCCCTGAGCTTGTGAAAATCGCCACGCGCCTTCGCTTTTTCTCTCTCCTTGGAGAATTCACTGCACCAAAAACGGGACGGAACGCGTGTACAATCGTCGCATCGCGTTGTGATTACAGGTATGCGGCAGGCGTAATTGAAACATTCAAAGGCGATGAAACGGAAATCGAGACGGGCGTGAAAAGCGAAGAGAAAGAAAGGGGAGATCTCTCCCTCTATTTGTCTGCGCTTGTTCAATCTCTCGTTCGACAAACAAGTATGACTTTGTAGATGCATCCACGCGTATATCGAGAAATCGTGAAAAGATATCCCCGCTTATAATCTACCCTTTTTATAAAAAAAAAAGAAAAAATAGAAAAGCGGCAATCTAGGGATCTAATTCGAGGAGAAGAAACGGTTCTCTTGATGAGAGCGTATTTTGATTAAAAATTTTCGACATGAATTTTTGCACATAAGATTCCTATTCACACATCAAGGAAAATTTTAATTACTTGTTTATTGCTTCTTGAGAAAGCAAGCACACTTAAAATATCCCATTGACATTTTGACGACTGGATAATTTTCGAATAGTTTACATGAAACGTATCTCGAACATGTGTGTTGCGATGTTTCCGATAATGACAGTGTTTGCGCGCGTTGCGTTAAACGATGGATAAAACATAAAAAGGGAAGGAAGTTAAATCGCGCTTATCATGGATACCGTTTTCATGCCTCGATTAGCCGCGTATCCTTTACCGATATGCAATGGAGTGTGTGCGTGTATATTGTACATGTGTATGAACCTAAGAAAAAGATATTTTTATCCTGTCCCCTCATCGAGAATTGTAAAACTCCACGAGGATAGATATCGCAAGCCGATCAACTGGATTTTATCCTTCGAAAAGATCGAGATTGATATCGTTACATCTGCGTGTTCACCTTTAGATGAAACGCATATAATATTGAGATTTAACATTTTCAGTATTTTAATGAATGAAGTAAAAACTGCGCGTTCTCTTCTCAAAACTTATTTATAGCGATAAAAATTATTTACGGAAAATTTTTTCCAACACTTACCCGGACAACACACCGAGAATTAGATTCATCACAAAGAAAGCTCCGAGGATGACCATCGAGATGAAATATATCCATTGCCACGAGCTCCCCATCGCATCCTCGATCTAAATAAAATGCAATTATAAAATGATGAAATCTTGATAAATCTTGATAAAATATTTTGAACTGGTCCTCGATGATTGAATAATATATGATTTATATGTAAGATTAGTATACTCTGCTAATCGTATAAATATAATAATGATAATTATTAATATGTATGATAATATTAATAATAATTAATAATGCAAATCTAAACAATACATAATAAATTTTCGTATAATAATTCAATCATCAATATTGTATATACATATTAATTATTAATTACTTTTAATACGGTTTTCATTCTTGGAAAAATTTAAAGAATGTAGAATTTTTGGGGATTTTATTTTTTTAAAAATCAAATAATTTTTATGGAATTTTACTAGAAAAATTCAAAGAATATTTAAAATAATTTCCGTCATAATTTCGCTTTTACATCAAATGATCGACAAATTAATAATCAGTACAACAAAATAGCTTCCGATAATGTAACACATAATTGTAATTTTTGAAAAAATGAAATTATGCAAGTCAAAAATACTTATCTTATGAAAGCCATTCAATTTTATTCAGTACTTTTTCAGTACTTTTTCAAATCTAACTTCAAATCTCTCTTGAAATTTATTGATTCTATTCTTTCTTCTTAATTGTGTGAGTAGAAAACATTAAAAAGTGCACACAATAAAAAACTCGCGTCTAAAAATTCTTTAATTTTATCTGAAATTATCAACAAAAATATCTGGAGAATTCGATCGGAGTCATTCTCAGAAAATATTTTTTACAAGATTCAAGATATATAGACTTCTTCAAGTATAACGTGAATTTTCGTGAAAATTTCGTTTGACAAGATGTGTGAGATTTTACATTATAAAGTACGTCCGTCCAGCCTTCGAGGGTGACGCATTGGAAGACCGTGAGCATGGCCAGTCCGAAGTTGTCGAAATTCGTGATGCCGTAGTTGGGACCCTCCCAGAACTGTTTGCTGCAGTAGTATTCGGGTCCAATGTTAGAGCACTGGTAGCCCATCTCGCCGCAAGGTACCGGATTGTCCATTATCTCGTCTGCGATACAAAGAGGAATCGAATTTTTAATCCCGACAGAATAAACGGCAACTGCGGATCCGTAATAAGATCGGCGTCCGTATAAACGCGTGGTGCTAAAAACTTCTAATTGGTTCTTGAGCAACGCGTTGAACGTGTAATATACCGTTAAAATGTTTGCGTATTTTCTATACGTATATCTATGCTATACGTAACTCCAGACTAGCACCTTTTTCCTTCACTAACGCGATTTATCGATCTTTCTGTTTCGCGCTTCTCCGGCAGATCAATTAAAGAAGCTTCATTAAGCCCATTGCTTCGTTAAACTTGAAATACACTTGAGCTAACTCCGTCAACATGGCAAACACTATCTGGATCTCTTATCAAATTAAAATAATGAGTGTCTAATTGATTTTCATATAAATGACATAATATAAATATAGGACAGAGAAATATCTAACATGTAATAAAAAGGTAATTAAAATATAAATTTTAATTAATGAAAGTAATTATTCTAATTGATCAGTCAGAGATCCTTTATGTTGTATATTTACATGAGAACGATAAAATATAAAAAATACATATATAATATACTACAATATATTAATTAATAATCATTAGCATAAATTAATTTTATTTACGGTACACAGATAAGCAAAAAAAGAAATTAAAAAAGAAAAAATAATTTGAGCGAAAAGAACGTGAATTTGCGCGAATTTTCGTTTTGTCTCTTTCTCTCTCTTCCTCGTCGCATCTTGACACATCTTTTTGTATCGCCCGGGCCCGTCCATCCGCTATTTTACGCATTCCCGTGAATCAGCTGTTTGCCGTGCGGCACGCAAGTCGTGCGTCCCTCGCGCTAATAATAATTAGACGTTAGTTTCACGTCCGCGTCTCGCGGCTGAATCATATCTAAAATAGCCGTCCCGACGTAAAGTGTGTTAGGAGGCTAAGCCGGGTGTTCTCCTCAGGGCCCCTCGCCAAATCTCCTCTCCCTCATCTTTTGCCATTCCTCGGCCCCGTACGTATCCGATTTTTTCGTCGAATCCCACGGGAATGATACTTACCAAGGTCTACGCAATTCCTAAATAATCTAACAGATCCGAACAGCTATTTTTTGTTTTCTAACTTCTCATTAATTCTTTATGACGGGCGAAGATAAATTTCTCATGAGTGTATTAAGACTAACATTCGGAGGCCTCAATATATAATTTCGATCCCATGTTTTCTTTTTAGGATTCGCACAAATTGCATGAGCGAGCAATTTTTTAAACGCGACAATGTACGAATTTTTTTTCACGATTAAGAAATAATGCCCTTGATACAGGTTGCATACACTATATAGAATGTATATATAATATTATATACGTACATTTTTTACACACACACACACACACACATATATATATTTAAATTCAAGTTAACATTAATAAAGAGTTTAGATTTACCTCTTTGGAAATATTAAGTTTTAATGATATAAATTAGTGCGAATAAATTAATTATAAAATAATATTAAGATAATATCTAAATTGAATTTCTTAACTGAAACTTCTTATCAGAGCTGAATTTCTGAGTCAGAAAAAGACTCGGGATTCAAAATTTAATAAATTTGGGAGTATCTGCGCAAACATCGATCCGCGATACGTTCATGAGAGTTGCCGTTGCCAAGCACGTTATTCGTTAAATTTTTATCAGGGCACGTAGCAATCCTGAAACGTGCACTTACCAGTTATGTTGTGCCTGCATGTTTTGTGCAACTTTCCGGAGAACAGCTCGAGGCCGATGATGGCATAAATGATGATGACGAAGAGAACTAATAAAGCAATGTGCAAAAGTGGTACCATCGCCCTCAAAATAGAGTTTAGGACCACCTGAAGACCTACACAAATGACGAATCAATTTATCTCTATCATTAATTATGCGTGCACGTTTTTCTTTTTCTCTTTTTATCTTATACACACGTACATTAATTATTTATTAATTCTATAAACAATTAAGTAATATACTTTAGTAAAACAATTATAATTATTTTAACATATCAATTATAAATTATAATTTAATTCTTTGATGTTTATTCATAACAAAATTGACATATTTATTATTAATTCTTTAAACAGCTAAATAATACATTTCAGCAAAATAATCATGATTATTTTAACATTTCATGAATTCCAAATTGAATTTATTTAGTTTAATTTTTTTGCGATATATTATTCGCGATAAAATCGATAGTTTGAGTGAAAAGTCTTACTTGGAACACCGGAAACCAGCCTCAGAGGACGTAGAACACGAAACGCCCTTAAGGCCTTGACGTCGAAACCCTCCTTCATGAGCATCATCAGCACCGTACTTATCATTCTACAAAGAGGAACGCAAAAAATTTTTCTATGCAGCAGACAAGTAAAGATTAACGACTTGATGATAAAATGAAGACTTTATAATATAGGCTGAAAGTCATTTTCCCAGAAGATAATTTGTCCCTGAAGAAAAGAGCTTTCTGTGCCAAGGCTAATAGTATTATAAACGCCGCATGGCGGCATTTATGAAAACGTTTATGAGGCATAAAAAGAGGGAAAGGAAACTCCCCCCTAAATAAACGAGAGATATCACGATTTCTTTTTCGAAAAAAGTACCGTTCCCCGAAATTATAGTCTGATACTGATTTTTCTTTTCAACATCACGTTTTTAAATTATCTTATTCGCAAAACATTTAACGAACCACGAAGTTTATGACATTATCGCAGACGAGCCGAACTTAATGAATCCGCCGACCGGAAGGAAACGATCTCGCCCGATGAGACAATTTCAAATGTTGTCGACGACTGCATTTTCCTCGCGCATTAGGCTGCATATCATTTGAATAATGGCTCTTGCCATAATGGTCGACTCGGAGGAAGAAAGAGGAAGATGTGGATGTGCATGGTCTCTCCCGCGGGACATTAAGACGGATCGATTCGCCGTGTCGTTAACCGAGAGCGATAAAGTTATCAAGCGGTAGAGGAAGCATCGTCACGTTGGTTATATGCGAAGCGTGTGCGCTCCGGAAAATAAGTACATGGTTACTTGTCGATACGAAACGCCGTATAATCCGGAATAGATTTTCGCGAACAATCCTCTACGTGAAATAAATAAATTCGCGACGCGGCAATCGCGGATCATTAACCGGAGGAAACAGCGCGAGGAGGGGTTGGTTTCGACATGCTCTGCTTGTCAACTCCTCATCGGAGTTTTATATAACGCGCGCGCGTGTATTTGTGCGGCTTCTCTCGCCTCTCGTCTCTTTACTCTGTAAAAATCGATGTGATCGCGTAAATAGGTACCATTATTTACGTTATGTATACATAGCGCGTATGCGATATATCGTGATAGTAATAAATGAATATAGGGGTCGTGTATCGGGACTCTGGCGCGGATGGATTATATATCGGGATACCGTTTGCACAGTGTTGTAATCACGATTAATGATTTTTAATACTTCTTTTATCCGCGAAATTTCTGAAAGAAAGCGAATCAAGATATTTTTACGAAAATATGCGATGTCACATCTTTTATGATTCCCGAGATAAAAGCTCACATTTTTCGTAAGAGATTTCGGAAATTATTTCAACGCCAAGATACGAGCTGTAATAGTCGTTAGTACAAATTCTCCGCGTGTAGAAGCAATTCACCGAGATATTAATTACGATGAAAGTTCGATCGGCGCTCGACCACTGCAAAGAGGTAGAGAGATGGAGGACAGACCTATTGGCATTATCGAAACTTGAACAGCGCTCATGAATTTTCAATCCCCGATCGCTGTTATACCCGGCCGGATTTAATTTACACGCATGAGTCGCGACATTATGTCAGCCAATCGGTCGAGTACTCCCGGATTATATCGCTAATTAATTCACTAACCCGCTTTCGCGTGTGTAATATTCGAGTACGATGTTTCGTCGCCCCCATCGCGACGGAGAAAATTTTCCGATTTCCCTTCTTCCTTCCTTCCTTCCTTCCGTCCCTGTTCTCGCTTTCGACGTGTTCGAGCACCGCCAGTTCCGCTTCATTTAAGCTCCGCGAAATAACCACGGATCACTCGGCCTGGATCACTCTCGAATCAATTTTATCAACTTCGCAGCTTGGGAGATGCTCGCGTGCGTTTTTACAAAATTAATCGCAAAGTTTTACAATTTTTCTGTTCACTTTTTTAATTTACATTCGCTAGCTTTTTAATGCATATACGCGAAAACATGAAATTGCTCTGATAACTTTGAAGGGAGTAACTTTGTTCAGGTGCTTCCTGTATAATCAGTACACAATAAGAGGGCGGAGTTTTCGAAATCGCTTTAGTATTTATAAGACTCGCTTCTTCAACTCTTATAAATATTAAAACTTGTTGGGAAGAGCTTTTTGATGAATATTGTTGTACGAAACAATCGTCGATAATTTTTTGCCCTTCCATCCTCATAATATGAAATTATTTTATGTATTTTTTATTTTATATACTTTTTATATAATATTTTTATATAATTATTATATCTGAATTTTTTAATATATTGAGTTGGGAAAGTAATTTGTTCCAGATTTAATATTAATGTTCAATATTTATCGCCAAACGAGTATTCTGGAGTAATCAGTTAGAGAAGTTATGCGACTTGTCGCTGCTGTTCGTGAATTTTGATGGACATTATCGATATTGTGTGCGAGAAAACACTACCAGATGCAAACTATCCAACGGCAAAGTGTATATGATTGCCACGTACTATCGATTACACCGATATTGATCCAATTAACTTGTAATTGATACAAGTTGTTAGATGACTCATATATCTTTATTGACTTTCACTCATCGAATTTGAAGGAAATCGAGTTTATTAGAAAACAAACACCGAGTGTGATGTCATAAATGCTCAAATTTCTAATTGACTTTTCATTAGAAAATTCAAAGGAAATGAACATTTAAGAAATGAGAAATAAACAAACTCAGGAAAGCTTCTTTTAAAAACATATTAATATAAATGAAGATATATTGGAAAAGATATTCGTTAATGTATTTAATCCTAATATCGATTTAATTCAATTATATCGAATTCAATTTACAATGTACTGAATTTGTAAAAGTAATATATAAAAATATTTTATCTGCAAATTTAATCTTCTATCAGAATAAAAGCTACAGTAAATTCCTTTCGGTTTTTTTGATGAAATAAAATCGACTTTGTATCTATATTTATGGACAAAATATTAAATAGAGTAGAAATTTATTAAATTGTACTCACCCAATCACGACTATCGTAAAATCCAGCAAGTTCCAACCGTTGCGGAGATAAGCTCCCGGATGGGCAACGAAGCCGTAAGCTATGATCTTCATCACGCATTCCACCGTAAAAATCACAAGAAAAACGTATTCTATCTTCTCCTGCAACATACCATAGGAAAATTGCCATGAGAAGTAAGAAAATGTATATTAGCGTTGATCTATCACCTCTAAAAGAGCATTCAAAGTAAAGGTTACAAACAAGAGAAGTGTCCTAATATTAAAGAAAGAGACTACGATTGATAACTATTGAGCGATAAGACGTATTGCCGCAATTTGACCGCGGAACACGTTCGTTAAGCGAGAATAATTGAAAGCGACGGCAACAAATTACAGTGAATTGCAATTAAAAACAAGCTCGAAAAGACAATGTTTCTCGCGGCCGCACGTACACGAACGTTAAACATTTAAAGCACGAGCGTCGCGTTGCAGTTGGATTACGACGAGTTACGACGAGAACGTGATCGCCGTTTACAGAAGAGGGTGTCAACGGCGCGCCGATATTTTTTTATATAGGACTTGTGTGAACTTGCGCCATTTTTTCTCCCTGGTATGAATTATAGAACCTGTTGCTATTTTCTTTTTTTTCGTTTTAATTTCTCTTTAATTTTACTTCGCCACGGTTAGTTTAAGAGAGCGAAGACTTTAGCAGAAGGTACTCTTCAAATTTCGAAACTTTGATCAACTCATTATCAAGGAATTAATTACTTACTATGTCAGCCGCAAAACTAAATAATTCTAGAACTTTTATCATACTATATATTTTACAAATGACAGGTCAAAATTATATATACCAGTGATAAAAATTAATAACTTCACGATTGCAATGTAGCAAATAAATTTGATATAATTTTCAGTACAAGAAAATACATTTATAAAATAAAAAATGACTACAATTCTTAAGAATTTAATAGTATCATTTATAATCATAAATACACTTCAATAATGCAAGAGCAAAGATGTGTCTTGGAAAACGTGAATTTAAGATTAATTTCGACGTCGGCCACCCCTTATTAGCGTGACTCATGGCACATGGGCAGTAGTATACCAGCAGCATTGCCGGCCATCGCGTAAAAGGATTAATCGACGCATAGCACGATTACGGTTATGAAGAAGAGAGGGAGGAGGGGAAGAAAAACGGTGTAGGCCTTGGTGAGAAAAACAGGCGAAACAAAAGGAAGAAGCGGAGGGTTAAAAATAAGGTCGAAGAGAGAGCGCTCGCTTGCTACATATCAAAGGTGGGGAAAAAAGTCGCCGTACGAAGAGAGAAGATATACAGGGCATGGTGGACGTTAAAGGGGAAGCTGAAAGGTGCGGATATACGACCATAGAGAGAGGACACGGATTCTCTTTATCTCTCTCTCCCTCTGCGCGACATCCATTGCGTTTAATTTCCGAAATCGATCGATTATTGAAGGTTCGCTGAAATAAGCTCGAGCGCACATTATATCGTTCGTATTGCTCGCCGATGCATGACACGTGGGCACCATTACGTGACTTTGAGGGTGCAAAGTTGTGAGGACAGAAAGTTCCCAAACTTTTGACGAATCGTATTGTTTCGTATTATTTCTCACTCTCTCTCTCTTTCTCTCTTTCTCTCTCGATAATTCGCTCTTCTTTTCAATATTTTATTATTTCTTCTATTACAAATTTATTCCTCTTTAAAAGAGATTTGAATCGTTTGGCACTTTGGATAAATTTATAGCAGGATTTTTAGGATTTGCTTTCGATCAAATTATTACTTTAATATTGTTCCAGATTAAAAAGTATTTTCTTATTCTTTTGTTGTAAAAGTTTTCTATAAAAGTTCGAGAATAATTCAGTGATTGAGAATAATTCAGTGAGGTAAAAATGAAGTATATATTAATATTCATACGATAAATTATTTTTCATCTCACACTTGTTTATTAATTGTCGATCTTCTCATTAACACACACTCATTCCATTATTAGATCGACACCTCTCTTACTAGAAAATGTATTGTTGTATGTATTTTTATCACGTACAATTTTTTTTACTTAGTCATATAAGGATTAACACATTGCCCACCACGTGGACGAAATACGAAAAGAGCAGGTGGTAAGGCCAGAATCGTAGATATTACACAAACGTGCCTACCGAATAATAAATTCCGCCGCTACGATATTAAATGTCGGATCGTGTTCGGTTCTAACGAATATTTAATGCTATGTGAGAGATTAGACTGTTCGATTTACCTCACATATTTGCGCAAACATTAGTTATAGCATTTATTATATATGGAATGTTAAAGACACTTTATTAGATTGATACTATTTTAAACGCAATATTTGATTGTCAAACTTTTACTACTAAAAAATTTTTAATATGTTAATATATTATATATTATATATAAAATATATATATGCATATTTTATATATGTGTATATATTAATAAGAAAAGATAATTTTATATTTAAATACTCACAATGAGTGTTACTTTCTTTCTGTGAGCATAATTTCTTTATAATCAAAATAAAATAAAATAAAATCTTTTTTGTTATCTTAAAACTAAGAAATATTTGTCTTTAAAAACTAACAGATATTCATAGAAATGTTCATATATATAATTATATATATTCATCTATATAATATATAAAACGACGTGTTGTCTTGTGAATTTTTTATATAGATTCATAATCTTGCGGTGGTAAAAGATATCAGAGTTTTATGTCGGAGTTTTATCTCGATTAAGAATCGGGCAGGGAATGAAAAAGTTCGAAGTTTTTAAAGAAGACTTAGAAAGATTGATCTTAAGATTTGCGACTTTTTGGAGTTTGTGACTGAATTCGCGAATTTCTCCCGGAGGTGTTATTCCTCGTTTCCCATTTCTCAGAAAGAGGATGCTCAGAGAGTAAATACTTAAAGAGTGACGCACAGACACTGGCAAAAAAAGAAAACACAAGAAATTAGTAAATAAATTAGTAACATATTTAATTTTTACCTCAAATTTTATAAGTGTAGCTGATTACAAATAACGATTCCTACAAAAGAGAAAAATCTACCTGTTTTCTAAGTCATTTTTCAAGATTTGCATCTCTTTTTGCACATTTACTTTACTAATTATTTAGTTTAGAATTTTTTATAAGTTTTATTTATACTATTACTTACACCGTTCATTATTTACTTTTAATTTATAATGTTTCTTACTATCTTTCTGTATATTTATAAACTATATTTATTTTCTCGATAAGACAGAAGTTAAATTAACAGATTTGTACCGTTTTCCCTTCGCGTTTACACGAAGCAATAGCTTTCCGCGAATTTCTCAGTTAGCCCGATCTCAACCAAGTTTTCTCTCGATTAATTAGTGCGCAAAGCATGTCCTTTGAGTGATGCAAAACAAAATCGCACCCTTTGGTGAGACACAACCCCTCTTTAGTACATGCACGATAATACGACGTAAAACTCAATTTCAAGTTGCTGACAGCTGTTTTATGTATATGTGATTCCATAAGTTCTGATGCGAGCCGAATGTCTTATCTATGAATGAGCTCGAGTGGCCTTCGACATTGATAACTATGAATGACTTTTGAAGTCATCCCCGACGGGGAAAGGGAAAGGAAAGAAAAGGGTATCCTCGATTAATCCTCGCGGCCTACAGCGGCCTACATGTGAAACTGCGCCTTCCAATTATAGCGCCCGGGGTGCCATGCACGCTGATCTCGAGCAAGATTGAACAATTATTGAACTTTCAGCTCGAATAAGTTTCATGCCACCAACCCCGCCAGTGCCATCTCGGAATCGATAACTCGATAGAGGTTCACGTGGTTCGTTGAACGGGATCGCCACTCTCTTATTGTTGCAGAGGGTCACTCATCGATTTAGACATACATATACACATACATATGCATATACAATACATTTATATATATATATATATATATATATATATATATATATATTATGACTGGTAAAATTACTTTATTTCGCATTCGGTGAAATCGCCCAAAAGGATTCCCGACGACGCCTTTCACAACGGGATGATTGCCGTTTACCCGCAATTATTTTTAGCCTCTTTCGAAGTTTCTATTTTTATTTATATAGATTGCGTTATAAAATAATACACGTTAGACACATCAATTTCTGGCTTTATTTAGGTGGAGTCCCTCGATGATAAAAATAATAATTTTATTTAACAAAAAAGTTTAACAAAAATAAAACTAAATTTCCACAAATACTCTAGAAAATGAAAACAATAATCAAAAATGTGTCGAATACTCACCAAGTACTGATTGGTCAGATTAGAATCGCCAAAGGGATACGGCGTGTAAACGGCCAAAGCGACGCAGTTCGCAAATATCGTCATAAGGATGAGCCATTCGAAGGGTCTACGAAGTGACATTGATGAAAATCGAGCGAATTAAGGAAAATATAAGGGTGGTCATTCAGGCGTTAATCCTTTTCATTGACGAAAACCGTCGTCAATATTAACTCCAATATTATATCGTCAAATTCGAATTAGGATCAAGAATTAGGATCTGGAAAAGCGATTAACGCCTGATTATTAAAGTCAGGTGCGTAAACATCGGTTCGCTAAGCTTTAATCTTTAATTTCGTCCCGCGTCTCACGATTGTTATCTCTTTAATCTCCCGCTCGCAAAGGATACTTCCACTCCACGACGCTGATGCACATCTTCCTAAGAGGGTTCGTGAGGGCCAGGCAGAAGAGCGCCCGGACGGGCCTGTCGGGCGGCGGCTTGCCACCCCGTCTGACGGGCCTCTTCTGGGCTGCCGACTTGGAGGCAGCGCCGGCGGCTCCGGCGGGGCCCGTCTGCGACTGCGGGGGCGGCGGTGGCGATTGATGCGCATTCGGCAACTGTACAGCATCCGGGACGCCACCGACACCACCGACGATTGACTGCTGGCCGACAATGGGGGGGGTCGCGGTGGAGGGGGTCGCGGCAGTCGGCTGGGCCCCCGGCAGCCGGGCAGGTGGGCCCAACGCCGAGCCCCCATCCCCCCCCGCGCTCATCGGTCGCTGGTGTCGAGCTCCGTGCTTCCTGTGCTACGACGACGATCACGTCTTCTTCTTCTTCTCCTGCGGCGACGAACCAGCGATTGCTGCCCGGCCAAGCAGATGGAGGCGATCGACGCCGATCGACGCGGTGTCTCAGAGGCGCCCCACCACGCGCTGCAGCTCGCCGGCATGCTACGGCACTGGGCTGCTACGAAGCTCCCTCCGTGACCTGCGGTTGAAAGGTCGAGGTTCATGAGAGAGAAAGAGAGAGAGAGGGGGGGGAGGGAGAGAGTGAGAGTGAGAGCCCTTTCGGCCCTAACGGTCGAGCGAGTGCGCATCGCGATGAGTACTCTATAAATTGTAATTATTCATAAGCCAACGCCGCGATGCATTCATGAGCGTGAATTGATGTGCACTCTCGTGAAAATATGTATTCTCGAAACACGTAGATAAATATCATATTTCCGAAAATGTCACATACAATTTTCAGCTGATATATTTGAAAGTAATATGGATATAATTTTAATATTTAAATTGCAAATCACAGCGAGAGAAGGGTGAATTGTTCCATAATTCATTTCATTACTTTGGACCTGCTAATATATAAATGTTACAATTATTTTTCGTGTATTGTACTTCTCTAATTAAGCGAACAGTTTTTACGGGGAATAATAAATAAATTTGATATCTCCAAGGTTTATTTTTGATATCGAATATTATTTAAACGAAACGCGTATGAAGATATGCTGCTGAGAGAAAAGGTAGATTATCCACGTATATAATGATATAGAGAAGAAAATAGCGCACGTAAAGTCGATTCTACGCCTACGCCTTTTATGCGAAATACGAGATATTCTAGACACAATTCGAGGATATTCCAGTCTCAAACGATGCAATTATACCTTTGACGATACAAATCCACCGAGAAAAGCAATGTATACAATACAGCGAGAGTCGCGCAGCCTTGTCCTCCTCCTCAATTTGGGAAGGATAATGCATAGAACGCAGCCATTCGATTGTACCATGGGTGCAATAAAAAAATAACAAGGCTACCGAATGAAAAGAACTCGACACAGCAATTTGGGGGTAGCTTTTCTATCCCGGCGCTACCCATCAACTGTAGTGTTTTCCCTCCTGAGAATTGGCTCGTCTATTCTTTCTCTCAATTTTGCGAGAAACATTTGAAGCGATCGAAAATTTATTATGCCATTGATACAATATTAAGATTAATTAGTCTTTTGGCTTTCCATAATAAATCTTTATACTAATTCTAATATTTCCAGTTTTTATTTTTTAAACAATATAGAAAATACTTTGAATTATTCTTCTTTTTTATTTTTACGTAATTAATATTTTATATAACGATGAGATCATTCTTTTTCTTAGCATTACAATAAACTTTAAATTTCACGTTAACGAAGATGCGAGTTATTATAAGTTAAGCAAAATTACTAGAAGAGTGAAAAATTATCGAGCACTGGTACATTTATTCTGCCCCTTCCAAGTCCCGGAAGGGGCCAAAGCCGCATGTAAATTGCGCGTAGATCGTACGTGGTAACATGACAATTACTCACGATAGAAATCTGTTGAAATGTTCGTGTTACAGTATGAGCGGTCGATGCTTTCCCGAACCCGTAATCCTACTATCGCGTACAATAAATTGTTCATGGAGATTACTGTTACGTGGACAAATTCTTCGCAATTTAACGAGCGTGTCGGCTTTTCGAACAATTTCTTGTTCGTGTAGACAGAGTTTACGAAATCCGATTTTAAGGTCGACGTGATCAATCGGCCGATTCTTTAAATTTGTAAATCCACATTGCTAATCCGCAAAAGGTATTTCACTTGAAATCGATTCTCTAACGATAGGATAATTCTGCAATAGATGACTATATTTTTGAAGACCTAACTACTCTACGCGTTCACTTAAAATTTTTCAAATTTTAAAAATCATATTTTTAATGGATAAAGCTACAGAGGTAGAAAATAATTTTATATGATATTGAAAAATTAATACAAATTCATATAACTAAAAATACATTATATTTGTATCTATATAAAGATACATATGCATAGCCAAAAATATAAACATAATATAGCTTATCTGACAAAATAAAAAAGTTATTATCTTTACTAAAATACATGTTAATGTAAAATAATTAACTCGGATACAAAATAATTTTATCGCTCTTGTTTATTTTATTTTATAAAAACATTATTTTATATACTTGAAATTTTATCATCATTGTATTAAACTGATTCTTCTCATTCCATGGACCTTCCATTTTTCTAAAAAAAAAATCTCTTAATTTTTGCACTTATATGTGTAGAGACAACAAATTTAAATCAAATTTAAATCAAATTCTATCAAATTTTATCTATCAATGGTATACGAAACAATCGTCATTGCCGAGGATTTGTTCGAAGAAAACGTCGGCTGCGAGAGAGACTAGAGAGCCCTGGGATTTATAGCCGAGTGGTGTGTGCTATATTTAGTGAGCCTAAATACTAGAAACCTCTACCTACGGGCGAGTTTCTCTCACGTCGCTGTGTTTGGTGGACACTTGTAAACTTGTCTGTGTTTTAATCGTCTCTACTGTGGCCTTTTCGCACGATACGATCGCATTCGGACCACGAATATACTCGGCAACGAATCATGTACACTTTGTGCAAAATATTTCGCAGTTCCCCTCAACTTTTGTTCTTTGTCTGCGAAACAATATTCTCGAGAACAATCTCGTAACACAGTTCTTTGATTTTACAAAAGAAAAAACATATGTTAATTGTATAATTTAAATTATTTAAGATATTTTCTGAGGGTGACTGGAAAAAAGAAAAAGGAGGATTTTATTTATTAATTATTTACAATTCTGCAAAAATGCGTATCGAGAGGACCTTACGATTCAGAATGATGAAATAGAGTGCAATGGACGCCCCTATATCGTAAATTTATATATAACAATACGATATATAGAGATCATTTTCATTAATTTTATAATTAAAAATTTTTAATGTTGCGTTTTATACGAGATTTAATTTCATATATTATTAATATTTAATTTATCTTGTTTTAATTCGATGGATTTGTAGTAATGTGTATATGTAGTATTTTATAATATTTTATTCGTGCACCAAGGTGAATAAATGCAATCATAAATATGTAAATTAAGTACGTAAAGTACCGAATTAAAACTATGTCAAATTAATCCTACATACAGTTACATTAAGCATGATATATTTTAAAGGCTTAAGATTACTTGTGTGTATGTAATAGATAAAGTTTTGAATTTTTTCTTCTATTTTTTCCGTATCCCATTTTTCGCAGCAAAATACATATCGATGAAAAATTACTTGTATGTTTATATAAATTTAAATTAGGAAGATAAAAATAAATTTCTCTCGTATAATTTAATATATCAGATAAATTAGCATATATTCTGTTTTTTCCATGTTAGTGGAGATGACATAGATCTTATATACGTGACAATTAAATCTAATACATAATTCACGTCCAGAGTGCGACGAAGCAAGTATTCAGAAACAGCGTGATACTTGCCATCCGGGTTCATGGCATTTAACCAAGATTGATCCCGAGATTTCGTCCCGTTATTCCCTTAATACCAGCTTCGTTTATCCAAAAGATCACGGCCGCAGCTCGACATTGTCCGTTAATCTTATCATCCGCGACTTATGTACGCGTATGTGTATGTGACGTATATTTGTATATAGCATTTCATTTCGAGTCGCTTCTGCATGCTTCGGCATTTGCTGAATTATACAGCGTGAATCCTCGGCCGTGCGAATAAATGATTCACCGAAAATCGCGAACAGTTTCGAAACCGTTCCATATGTCGAGGCGCGTAAATTCTCGCGAATGCATTTCACCTTTCCTTTCTTCCTTTTTCGCTCAAGCGCAGCAGGAGGAAGAGACTCGATTTGCATGTCTCACGCGATTTGGTGACACGATCGAAGACACAAATCTACTGCGATTCTTCGAAGATTACGACCACGCTTACAGATTCCGAACTTATGGCAGATGTACGTGACAATTTTTAATTTAGAGATCATTTCTGATTTAGAGATTATCGGTTAATTTTTGAAATTACGATTATGATAAAAATAAAAAGCGTTTTAAAAAAAAAACTGAATTTTGTTAAAGAACCTGCGACGTTCTTAATAAATAGCCTTAGTATATGATCACTATTTATCGATAATAATTCAATAAGTTTTAGACTATTTAAATATTTAAATTATAATCAAGTTATTATTATTTGTGAATCTTTTATTTATATTTTGAAAATATGATTGATACTTTTCACGTGATTTATTTATTTCACAATTGTTAGCTATATTTGTTTGAAAATAATTACGCAGTTCAACAAATAATAACTTTTTTTCAACAAGTAAAAAAGAGTTATTTACTGTAGTATTGACATTGAATGATTCCAAATTGCTCCATGAAATCGCAATTTTGAATAATTTAAAGTTGCAGAAAAAAGCTATTTTACTGTATTTTATATCATGTTATAGTTATGTGTGTAACATATTGGAAAAAATTTATTAAAATATATATTTTGTTAGAACTTGTAGTTTTTAAAAAGAATTTGATTTTTCAATTATAAATATAATAAAATATTCATGGTTAAATGTGAGATTTAAAGAAAAGAGCTATGGATTAAATCATTGAAGTTCTAGAAAATAATTTTCAATTTATTTAAATTTAAGAATTTTTAGATTACTAAGTATGGCTCTAAAGTCAAAATTGATAAATCATATAAATATACATACAGGTATATATATATTTTTTTGCAACAATCCGTTTTTAAATTTTGATACTTACATTAATTTCGTTATTTTTTAATAGGATTAAATAAATATATTAAAAAATATTTCGTATATTTTCGATGCTTTAATTCACAACTTTACCGCAGTAAATTCTGTTTAACGATAAATAACAATAAAATAACCCATATGCTAATATTTTAACCATAAGCTTCTCAAAATTGTAATAAAACAATTATAAAATCATGTTTAAAAAATGATACAAAATAATTATTCTCTTTCTTGTATGTGTGTGTGTGTATTTTTATTAAAATATATTTTCTCAATGATTCGTATACGTACGGAATAAATGATAATAATGTATAATAAATAATTTAATAATGACAAATAAATCGACGAAACGAATAAAAGAAACTATTTATTATAGAAGAGAGAAATGCAGTTTAT